CAAAAGAAGTTATGTTGCCGTGGCAGCAAAAAAGTTACACGACATTTCCTTGGTTTATCGGGGTGGTCATGACATTTGTTTTTAAATATAGAACCCGTCACGATCCTGCAATATGGTTACAAGGAGGATTTCTCCTAACCAAGCCTCACATGTCATGAACAAATATGAAGCGATTACAGCTCTCTTCGCCTTTCGCATTGTGCATTTTCATTTTGTATAACTTCAAAGGCAGGAGAGTCTCACAGTTATTACATGAATCATGGTTGTTAGAGGAGGATAATACCACCCTGTAGCCTCACGGTTATTACTGTTCACACGAGTTTGCTGTCACGTTTATGCTCATAACAGAAATGACTGTGTCGTTCATGATTGTAGTTGCAGTTCCTTGACGAGACAGTGGAGGACTTGAAGAAACTGTGGCAAGAAGTGAATCCAGGACACACATGGGATCTCTCTGTTGACACACTCCGACAGGTAGAGACATTATGTTACAGGTAGTAATGACAACGTCAGGAAAGCAGATGTAAGGTGAGGTAAGGCGAGTTTATTTATGAGCACTGTTTGAACAATGAGAATCTAATCTAAAAGTAAATTAATATTATGTTTTATCGGGGTATTGATTGAACCCTTATTGCCTTGAACTCCTTCTATTTTATTGGGCCTTAAACCCGTAGGTGTAAATCAACAGGTTGATTTTACACCGCAATGATTCATTAAATGTTTACTGTAATCGCCCATTCATCTGTTTCTCTGCTGTAGGCTGTGCTGTCTCAGCCTGATCAGGCATCGGCTCAGGAACGGAACCTGACCCAGCTCAACTCTCTGCGTCTGCAGCTTTCTGAGCCCTCTGTTCACAAACACAAACACCCAACAGCAGCTGCTGCAGGGTGAGACACAGTCACACATGACTCATGTAATATCTCTTCTGCAGCATCTTGGCTCTGTCATACACACACCTACGCCCCACACCTGCGCTTGAGACATGACAAGTTTGTGTGGTGTGTGCTGCCCCCTGCAGGCTGCAGCTGTGGAGGAAACTGCTGGACGTGATGGACGACGAGGCCAGGTGTCTCCAAAACCTGCTGTGTCTTCCACAGAGAGACACATGGAGCTATAAAAAGGAGGAATCCCTGATCTCTCATGCTGGTCAGACTTGCAGAGTTTCACTCAGACAAATTTTTGTGACGATTTTTTGTAATTATGCTGCATATGATTGTGTTTTTTTTTTACATCCCAGAAATGGTTAATGATAAAGATGAGACAAGTGACAAAAAGGAAGGAGATGCCAAGGAGGAGAGGAGTGGGATGAGGTCCAGATCCAACAAAAGAGAGTCCAAGTCAGCATCAACTGAAAAAGTAGTGGAGGTGAGGGAAAAGGTGTTTGTGTTTGTGCGACTGAATCACTGCTGTTTTCACAGAGACAGGCTATGCTGTGTTTTCTCACTTCTAAGATTAGTTTAATTATGAGCGTGAATAAGGCATCACATCTGTATGACATGACACATGTCACTGCAAGAGACTTCCAGCTGAGCCAACTATGAGTCAGCAGCTAGACTCACAATACGCTGTCATTTCATCATTTATACATCTGCAAATAAACACACTGATTCTTGTTTTTTTTTTTGTTACCATGGACTTGCATCCAAACAACTTTTTGACTTACATGCAATATTATTTTCTACAGACTAGTTTGCAGAGCAGCTATTCTAAATCCTCACTAAATGGAAGGAAGCTAAATACCTAAATCCAGTGTTTCATTAGAGTAGCTGAGAAATAGAATATAAAAGAAACCAGTCCTTTTCTTTTCATTTGCAGTGTGGCTGCCTCGGTAAGATAAGAAGCAATAACCATTCGTTCTTATGCTAATTATTGTTTTCTTGCTCCCACCTGTCCTCAGTATACCCAGACTTTTGCATTATCCTATACCTAAATCAGAGTTGTAGAATCTTGAAATATACTGAGGACCTAAATGGACTGGTTTGGTTAAAAATAGACGAGATGCTGCATCCTGTTGGCACAGTTTGTCAACACATCCACAACAGTCTAGGTGTGAATCTGGCTCTGGACCTGTTGTGTTTCCCTCCCTGCTAATGGTTCACATTTCCATTGTCAGTCAACAAAGGCAAAAAAAAGAAGGTAATATCACATTTAGAAGTAGCCTAGAGAGACACAGTCCTTCTCTGTGACTGTGTTTTGCTGAGTGATATTTCCCTCTGTGTGACTCTTGAGTCATGAGTAAGGTACAGCCTATTACTCACAGGGTGCCATGGTAACAGAACACTGCGTGAAAATGTGCACCTGCTCTCAAATTGTGCGCCCAGGGTGTGAATTAATAGCACCTTTACCAGTTCAAGCCATCTGTTGTACACACACACACCTACACACAACAACAGCTACGGTAGCTCAAACAGTCACATAACGTGACAAATTAAAGGATATGTGGGAGGCGAAAAACAATGCAGAAGAGAACGTTATCATTCTGCAGTGTTTCACACTCATATATTTTGCTAAGTTGTTCCTTCCAACTTAGTTTGTCTGTCTGTCTGCCTTGAATCCGTCCATCCCGTGAGCAGGACAGTAAGAAGAAGGGGAAAAGAAGGGATGAAGCAGCAGCGAAACGCTCCAGAGGAAAACAGGAGAAGGAGTCACCGTCATTGACTGACTGCCAGATAGAGAGCGATAGTCAACAACTTCCTGAAGATGATGAGCACAATGAAAAGCCAGAGATGACAGAAATGTACACAAGACTCCTGCACAGAAAGGTCAGTCTTGTACTAATCTCTTAAAACAGTTTTTCAGTTTGTTTTATCAGTGCACTCTCCTGATTTTACACTCACAGCTCACTAAATTTCATCACTAGAAGTACCACTCACCCTGTACAAAAGTCCTTCTTGTTAAATATTTTGCACAACATTCTTACCTGAGGGCGTCGGACAGGAGTCTCTGTGTGGAGTTTGCATGTTCTCCTTGTGCATATGTGGGTTCTCTCTGGGTTCTCCAGCTTCCTCCCACAGTCCAAAGACACTGTTAGGTTAACTGGTGACTCTAAATTGGCCGTAGGTGTGAATGTGAATGTGGCTGGTTGTTTGGCTAGGGAACAGTCCAGAGTGTACCCCGCCTCTCGTCCAATGACAGCTGGGATTGGCTCCAGTACCCCCTTGACCACAAACAGGAAAAAGCGGTGTAGAAAATGGATGGATGGATTCTGATTTTTTTGGGTCAATTTAGTTAAATTTACATTTGAGAAGTATAAAATCTATTTAACATACCACAATGCCTATATACCGTATATAGGCAATATACATAGGTATTTATATATAGGCTTTGTATTCTGTATATACTTTACATACACTATATAAAATACATAAAATGTCTCGAGGTTAATGAGGTTAAGAAAATATTAGATTATAGTGCAAAAAATAAATGTTATAATGTACTTATCCATGTTTGTCGCATGTTTTGTGTAAACTGTCTCAGCAATAAACCCTCAGCTAATTCAAATATCCATCTGGGCCCAAATTAGGAGTTTTTGAAATTGGTTCAAATATCCATTTGATGATAGTAAAAAACTGTCCAGTTGCAGAATGGGAAGTGTAGGAACTTTTGAACACTATAGGGCATTGTTTTTCAAAGTGGGGGTCCTGACCCCGTCAGAGAGTCACCAGGGGGTGCTAGGGCGAGACTCTGAGGGAAGAGGGCCCTGAAACAGAAAATACTGTTTACATAAAAATACATTCAATAAAATGATTGAATATGATTATTTATGAGGAAATATGAATAGAAGTTGTACATAAGTTTCATTTATTATTTTTTTTATTGGTGAAATGATTTGAAAACAATGGTGACACTAACAACAAAACATTAAGAAGGAAACTTGACAAAAAACTATTATTATAATAGAATAATAATAGAATACATTTAGTGATTGCAGCGCAGAAAGAGGAAAAGAGAGGATAAAAAGTAATTGTATTTAAGTAGTGAAATTGAGCGAGTGCTTATTATTATGATGGTTAAGTAATACAGAAGAGGTAAAGTAATAATACAGAGTACAGATAAGCATATATTGAACCTAAACATATACCTTCACACACACACACACACACACACACACACACACACACACACACACACACTAGGAGACAGCAATGTGACGAGTTACACTGTGTACATGTACAGTCACTTAGTTTCTACTTCTCATCATAACCATAATGATCCTAAAGTAGGCTACCAGTGGTAAGGCAGAGATCTGACAATAAGAAGTAACAGTGACTGTCAACAATAAACATGAGGTCGTATGACAATAAGTACATTTTTGAAAATGCCTTCCTAATGTACAAGAAATTTAAGCAATTTTGCAAGAGGGGAGTCCCTGCCAGAGGCTATGGTATACTATATGAGGGTCCTTGGCTTGCAAAGTTTGGGAACCCTGCAGCACGAGGGATTTTAAAAACAGGATCTTTGGCCTTTGTTGCTTTATTCACATGTTTTGTTGATGCTGATTCCCCTGACACTTGATCACCTCTTCAACTTTCCAGTCGGCTTATTCTATGTACACTCACATTAATGTGTATTTGTTCGTCTATCTGGCAGGTTTATGCTCTGATTGAAGACCTGGTGGACAACCTGTGTGACCTGATGGATGAGCTTGATAAGAGAGATGAACATTAACACACGAGAGAGGCATGGCCACGAGAGCTCGCTTAATACACACACCCTAACGTCATAAATATGGGATTACGTGGGATCTATTATTGTATTGTAAAATCAATAAACGTTTATCGCTTGTTGCACAGTGGCTTGAATCCATTCTGTCTCAGTCACACTCTCACTCACTGTACCGCTGAGTCTGCAAACGACGCGCACCCGGTCCCTGCCTCCCTTTTACGCACCCCGTTGTGATGCTGTGTGCTGTGCTGTGCGTGGACTGCCGGTGCCGTATGCGTGTGAGAGGGTCGGAGGGAGGGAGGGAGGGAGTGAGTGAGTCGTGTGCTGTGGCTTATCCTTGTCCTATGCGGATTTTACCGCTGACTGCCTGCCGGAGCGGCTCGCAGCATCAGCAGCAGGCTGGGCTTTAGGCGCTGACATCCACATTAAAGGCTTTTCCAAAGAAAAAAAAAGAAAAACGCGCTTCACGGCTCCTCTCTGACGTGAGCCGGGTATAGGCGCGCGAGGGGATAATTGTGGTCGCCCTGGTTCGTGGATCCCAGAGGAGTGCATTTTAAAGGGACTTGGAGAGGAGGAGGCAGAGAGGCGAGGATGCTGAGTGAACGAGGCGGGAGATGAGCGATGGCCAAGGTAAGCTGCATGCTGCTGAAATGACCCGGAGGTTTCTTTGGCGTTTTGGCGGCAATAATTGTCCTTATATGCAGATATGAATATCAACTACAAAGTAGAATCGAAGTGTTTGGCAGCACCGTGTACATACAGCCCCTGTGGTTGGCCTTACAGGATCTACACATGGTAACCGCGCATGGAATACACCGTGTGTGTGTGTGTGTGTGCGTGTGTGTGAATGTGTAGGGAGGTTGAGTAATGTTATGCATAATGCAGACCCACCACGGGCGCCCTCCTCCACTCTATCGTCACCTGACATACACAGTGTACACCTGCTGCCTGTGCACGCATGCGCAACCATAAACGTGGACGACGGAGTGACGTAGATTCCCAAGGTTTGAGGAATTTGACGCATGCGAGCGAGCCGTGTTGGGCTGTTCTATCTCCTTCAGTCACAAGTCGGTGGGATTAAGGTTCAGGCTAAAATTCACTTCCACGTTCAGCTTGAACATCACGACTCGAGGCGATGATTTCATGAGGTGATTTATAGTGGCCTCATGTGGCCCACAATGAATTAAAGTCACCACAACCAGATGAGTCACTTAGAGCTTGTAGCTGTGAATCAGAAAGAGTGTCCATATCCCACTAAAAGCACGCTGGGTGCTCTCATTGTGTCCACAGAGATGTTGCATTATTTACAGAGCAGTGTGTCCCTGGATGACTTCCTCAAAAACATGCGCTTGACATTTCATCAAATACACTCATTCTAAACTGAGCTGGAGCCTACAGTGTTTCACAAATATCTTTGGGGGGTATTTTACTCCTCTGGTTTAAGAACACACTATTTTTTTGTGGGTTTACCCACTATGCACTCAAGCAACTTACAGGCTATTCTCAACTATCTTTAGTAAGCCTATGGCATGTTCAAGTATTTCACTGAATTGAATGTCAGAGTTTGTCATGGGATCCTGGACTGGATGGATTCGTGGCAGAACAGTTGGAAGAGGATGATGGAAAAGAAGGATGCTGATGGCCTAGTGGTTATGTTGCCCCCCAATGTACGAAGGCTGTAGTCCTCTAAGCGGGTGGCCTGGGTTCAAGTCCACCGTGCTGTCTAGATAGAGGCAAAATCTTTAGAAATATTTGCCCGAGCAATAATCTATTCCTATATAGAATCTTTCAGTTGGACATTTACAACAAAACCCCTGCTACCAAAAAACAACCATATCGACAGCCAGTCCTGACCGAGGATTCTGATTGGACAGGAGGCATTTCATAACAACATCACTGGGACTGTTCACAAAGTGTTTCCCCGATAATTAACACTACAGACTGTTTGTCCTGAATAATCGAGCTGGTACCTCTACATTGTTTTCTCTTTTTTTGTGCCTGATGAAGGCCTAGGACTGAAACGTTGCCAATAAATGTTTGTTTGCAAGTTGGACAGTGTGCAGGACTTTATCTTTAAGTTTCTCTTGGACACATTGCTCTCCAGCGCACCTGTCTTGTGAAGTGGACCTGTAAAGGTTTTTTCTATTTTACCTCTAAATCACAAAAAATTAGACTCTTAATGAACTTGCTGTGTGATAAAACAAATAAATGCTCCATAAAGTAGCAGGTCTGTGGTAACCATGGACACAAACACAGTAGCAAGAGTGCAGGAGAATGTTTGGGTTGCTTGGCAACAGGTCAATTTTAGTTAAGATGTGGAACCAGTTTAAATGATGGAGCAAATAAATCATAATCTGTTGTTTTGACTGTTTTCTTCTAAACTGGTTGGAGAACTGTCATAAAACAGCAATATCACACTCCTATCCGAGATGTTGAACTAAATATTGACACTGCTGTGATTATCTTCAGCACGAGGCCACGTTGCATTCCAGCAGTGTTTATTCATATAGGCTACAACATCACTCCCTCTCGTGTGAGATTGATTAGTTATGTAGATTTTGTTTTGGGGGGAAGACATAGAGCCGATACGTTTGTTTTTCTACTGTCCATGAATTGCAAAAGAATGCTCTAACATCCCAAACTGGCTAAAGTCACTTAATATTGATATATATACTCCTTTAAACATTATGTTGAATTATTAAATTGATAATTTTCCTCATATGGTGAGAAGTTGTTTCATTTTGGGGAAAATAATAATTGACAAAATATAAAAAAGCAGCACAACATTATTTTAAATGAAATTCATTTGCTTTGGGAGGAAGTAGAATAATATAGAACCTTTAATATACGGGAGCCCGACTGATTGACCGGCCAGCCGATAATATCGGCCGATATTACTTATCCAGTGACTATCAGTGTCTGCTAATTTTATCAAAGATATGTGCAGATATCACTATTGCATTGCATTTGAGTATCATTATATTACACTAGCTGTTCTCTTTCACCAGCAGAGGGCGCTATATGGATTTAAACAAACATTATCACTCTCCAGAGGGTCAAGCGTGATGCACGTACATGCGCAGTTCATTTTCCAAAATACCCTGTATGCTACTTGTATAAAAATTAGCTGACTTATTAGTTTCATTTTTTGTATTGTTTTTCTCGTTTTCTATTTTTCGCTGCCAAACAGAACACACAGCAAGAGATCCAGCCGACCACGTCGATCGTCCTCAATATTGCTTTTTAAGTTAGGTTTGATCAGGCGAGTTTCTGTGAGATCTCGTGTCTTTGAAATCGTTACTCCATACTGCAGGTGTGTGGTCTCCTGGTCTGGCCGAGTCGTCTAGTGTGTGCGTTTGGAGGACTGTCCTTTTGTCTGTGGTCTCCCAAATTTTTTAAATCGGTTAAGATTTGAAAATCGCCTAGTGTTCGGCCAGCTTTACACAAACATTCAAAGCTCAGGCTCAGTGCAGCTCTGATGATCACTGACATGGGCTGTTATTCATAAAAAAAATATTTTACCTCATTATATTTAGAAATGTTCTTATGTTGGTTTGAGATGTTTAGGGTATTTTGATTGGGGTATTAAAGTTCTGGATTGATTATACTTAGATGATGTGAAGGTTTCTTTCTCCACTGTCCAAAGTGACCATATGTTGTGCAGGAGCTAGCTGCACATGCTCTGAGCTGCAGAGTGGAGTGATAATAACGCTCCAGGGATTAATACAAAGAAAGCAGAGAAGAATTTTTTTGGTTCACCATCTGATGCTCACAAAGCCTCTATTTTTATTCATAATGAAAAACTCCAGAAAGTGTCATCCTGTAATTATTTGGGTGTAATGATCGACCGTCTAGTCCTGGAAAGACCACATAGAATATACATAACAGAGAATTTATTACCTCCGCTGGCTGAGATCTTTTATTGCAAACAGACAAATTCTTGTCTTGTTTTTTACTTCTGTGACTTCAGTGTCCCACAGTGCTGTAACACCACATGTTGCATGTTATGTCCACTACTTTAACGTCTAAACTGCTCCACCAATAAAAAAAATCTCCTTCAAAGATTGTAGGACAACCACGCCAGAGACTCAGCCTTGAATAAAAACATGTTTAGTCTGGTCATTGTCTCTGACCCTATCACGCTCTGAACAGTGAATTTGAAATATTACCATCAAACCTGAGATACAGAGTCCCTGGTTTAAATAATGTCAGACTGAAGTGTCTTGATAACGGCAAAAAATCATAATCACAATCTTTTTTTTAATAGGTTTATTTTTGGGCCTTTTTTAAATTAGAGAGACAGGTAAGAGTGTGGGGAACAGCTTGCGGGAAAGGAGACATAGGTCAGATTCAAACCTGGACCGCCCCCAGGAGAACTTCAGCCTCCTTTAATGGGGCGCGCAATAACCACTAGGTGCTCTAAATATCATGATTATTTTGATTTATATCGAGTTCACAATTATTAAACAACATTACTCTTTGATTTTTACAACATCTGCATCACGTGTCTATTGGACTTTAACACTCTTAAAAACAATCAATAAATGAAAATGAAGAAGTGAAAAATATAGATAAATATAATAACATATATTGATAAGTAATTGAGGTAGTGATGTACAACAAACACTTTGAACACACATGACAAAAGGAGCGCCACACAGCATTCAGCACAGTAATGATTTAATCTCCATGATCTTGTTTTTATTGTGGGAAGATAAAATCATCATTGAAATTGACACCTGATTAATTTCCTAACTCTAGACTGAAGTCTCTTTTATACATCAGTCAATCCTCAATTCACACATAGAGCTGAATCACAGATCAAAGCACCTTAGAGGCCTCTGAATATCTGTTTGCTGTTTGAATGTTATGTCAAATGTTTCAGTGTATCGCGTCTTTAATTTTATGTTGCAAATGGAGCCACTGTGAGACACATTTCAGACATCGTCTGATAAAGTTCTATCCATCCATCGCTCAACGTAAAGATCAGACAACAATGCAGGACGAGAAAAACAGTTTCTGACCCAGGTGAATGTCTTTTGATGATGAAATAACAACATCACTTTTTTTTCTCACACAATCCTTCATCTGATTCTTCCTCATAGGATTATCTTAATCCTCTCTTTTTTTTTCTGCACACAGCGGTCACTTCACTTTGTAACTATGAGGGTCACATTCAAGAACTCTAGTTTGCAACACCTCATACAGCAGACAGCACACACCTTTCAATAACCTTTGTATGTTATTGCGAGCATCTGTCTGTGTGTGTGTGTGTGTGTGTGTGTGTGTGTGTATATGTGCGTGTCTACTGTATGTACCCTGAACCAAAGGCTGCTGATGATTTTGCAGAAAGGTGATACATGTTTGAAGTTGCTGAGCTGCACTCTCGTCTTTGTGCCCTTCATTGTCTCTCTCTCTCTCTTTCTCTCTCTCTGCCTCTCTTTCCCTCCCTCTCTCTCTCTCTGCCTCTCTTTCCCCCTCTCTCTCTCTCTGCCTCTCTTCCGCTCTCTGTCTCTCAGTGTCTGTCTTGCACATGTATACACGCGTCTCCTGCGTTGAGTTTTGTGTGTTCGTCCCTGCTGTGTGCGTCTCAGTTCCTCTGGGCTTCTGCTGATGTTTGCTTTCCTGCAGGATGAGGCATCCTGTGACTCGTCTCAATGTGACAGCATCGTGAGATGCTAAAAATCAGCAATAAACGGTGACACCGGGAGTGATTTTTAAAAAAAGTATGCAACCCATAAATATTCATAATAATTTATAATGTAATAAACTGTCATAACATTAGCAGCTGCAGTCTGTTTTAGTCACATGCACACAGTAAAAGGTTGTAATAATCCAAAACTCTGTCAGTGATTGAAGACTTCTTAAGTCAAACAGTTCAGTCAAACTTTGATGTGTCCACATGTCCACATTATGCACCTGATCCCAATTCTTTCTGTCTTTCTGGGTCCTCGTTGTGGTCTATTTACTTGTCTTGTATCTTGTAACCAGTCTCTCAGAGTGAAACTGTCTCATTCAATTCTTGTTGACCTGCAAGATGTGTTGAAAAAGAACAAAGTGCAGCAAAGGTACAGTAGTGGTGGAAGGAAGCTCTTTTTATGGCAACTTCTTATGAGCTAAATGTGGCCTAAATTAAATAAAAAAACGCATGTGTGACGTAACTGCACATGACATCACTTCAAAATCAGGATTAGGTCTATATTCTCCTCGTCATCATTGTGTTCAACCCATACAGCTCGTTTTTGGAAGGTCTGGTGGACGTTGGTCCAGAAACAGATCAAAAACACAGAAACAAGTTCCAAAAGACTGTGAGGCTTACAGACAAAACTGAACCAGAAGGATGTCTGAAAAGTTTTATATCTTTGATAGTTAGCCGGTTGAGTGAGTCGATGGCTGATGAGAAGAGGTTTGGTTTGGTTTGGAGAAGAAACCACAGCTTCGGTTATGTGGGTTAAGTACCATCTGTGTCAGCGACGGTTTAGTCTCAGGCAGAGGGAGAAGCATCACAGAAACCCTTAATGATCAATTCCCTGGTGTTCTCTCTGTGATATGAATTTGGGAGAGAAAATGGGTTGTGTGGGTGTGTGTGTGTGCACATACAGCGGCATGTGTGTGTGTGTGTGTGTGTGTGTGTGTGTGTGTGTGTGTGTTGGCCTAAATAAATGAAGCCACCAAGAAGCTTCATCAGACACCTGAGTGCCGGAGCTTTTGTTTGACCTACTTCCTGAGTGGGTATCAATTATAAACCACTCCTTTAAGGACTGTGATTGGTCTTAATCATACGTTAAAGAAGTACAGCCTTTACTTTCTCTTGTTCTTTTAAACATCATGACAGCCATGTAGCCCTATTGACTTTGGTTTGTCCACAAATTGTCAAAGTTTGAAGGCAAAATCTACCCAAATTGTTTAAAATGGGTATTGCAGTCCAAATTCAAAACATTGAAGATAGCTGCCGTCCCCTCCTCCCTAGAGCAGAAGCACTCTCGGGGAACCTTGAAACCTGGCTGCGTTCTACCCTCATTCCATTTAAATGTAGAAAAGCATCCCCAGTATTTATCCTCATTTTACCACATGTCTGGTCATGGAGCATAAAAAAATGCTGAGGTGTTTTAGGTCAGTGGCAGAATCAGTAATATCTGAACCAGTTCACTTGCCCACTACCCTCTCTGCAACACCTGTACGTTTGCCGTGGTAACTGGTCGAAAACATCTGTGTGGGGGTGCATTAAAACCGCCTACCTTTCTCTGATCAAAACAAATACAGACCATGCAGGACTTTCAGCAGATATCTATCTATCATATTGGACCTTGAAGGTGTAGCACCAGCTGAGAGACTTCAAACGTAGGCACAAGTTGCATCTTAAATCTTACAGCTAGCTCCTAGTAGGTGTAAAGTCCTCTGTAAAAAATAAGGTAGTCATGGTAAATCATTTTGAAAGGCGGGATAACTTGGAGGATGAGGAGAAGCAGAGATTACAGTTACACCATTCAATGTCACTGTTGTTATTTCACATAAAGTGTAGATTCAGTGTGTAGGCTTCAGACATCACGTGATCCTTGTGCTTTGTCATATTTGATGTACATTTTCAGCGTTGTTTGTGTTACTGTTCAGAGACTGTTAGGCACGAGAGGCAGCACTGTACCAAACACTAAATGCTTTTCTCTGATTGGTCACATGAAATTAAAACATCAACATCATCTGTGAAAATATTTTGACCAGTTTGGACGTTACGCTCTACTAGTTAAGACGAACCTTACATCTCTGTGGTGCAACCTAACACTGACACAACTTAACAAACTATAGTTTACACATAGGGTTTAGTGTGGACTGTCCACCCAAACTTAAGACAGAACTTAGACATAGCGGGTGCAACAGGCCATAAGAATCCTGGGATTTGGGGGCGCTGGTGGGGCAGGTTAGTGCCCGCGCCCCATGTATGGAGGCTGTAGTCAAGCCGGCGGCCCAGGTTCGAATCCAACCTGTGGCTCCTTTCCCGGATTTCCAACTCTATCCGCCGTCCTATCCAATAAAGGCATAAAACGTAAAAAAAAAAAAGAAAACACCCAAAAAATAAGAATCCTGGGATTTGTAGTTCTGCAATTAGAGGCTTGAATGTCCCATCAAGGCTGTGGTGCACTAGGCTACAAAAGATGAACCATGGAACTATTGAAAAATCAGAAATGACAGAGTGATTACTATTTTTTAATATTATTTTGTGTTTATCTCTTTCTTCCAGAGGCGTCCTGAAAGTGAAGAGGAGCATCCATTGCTATAGCAACAGCTCCTGTCCTCTCCTCCCCTCCTCCAGTCGTCCTCTCAACGCCTCTCTTCACCTGTCGAGTGATTGTTTGCCTTTCCTTTTCTTCCAAAACCTCTGTCATCTGTCACCATGACAACCTCAGCCCTACGCCGGCAGGTGAAGAATATTGTGCACAATTATTCAGAGGCGGAGATCAAGGTATTGTCAGTGCTCTCTTCAAGTGTTGTTGGTGCGCAAGTAGCTTTCATGTGGCCGACCTGGTTGAAGGGTTAACTTGATAACAAGTCATATCTAATCAAACACAACAGAACAAAACTACCCAATAATATCTGTCCCTTTGTTCCTGCTTCTTGTCATCTGAATGTTTATGATACCGTTTTGTATGAATGAGAACGTGATACACATGCAAGGTAAATATGAGAAGAAGTGTTTCTTGTTTCTCTGATGGTGATGTGTAGGTCCGTGAGGCCACCTCGAACGACCCATGGGGCCCGTCGTCGTCGCTCATGTCAGAGATCGCTGACTTGACCTTCAACGTGGTGGCGTTTGCAGAGGTCATGGGCATGGTGTGGAAACGTCTCAACGACAGCGGCAAGAACTGGAGACACGTCTACAAGGTGACCTCATGAAGGATACAAGTTCCTGTTACCATTCGATCCTTATTCCTCCTCCTATCTGCTTGTTTGCTCTCAGGGGAATTCACTGAGATAGGATTGTGGCCGCTAACAGCTCCATGAACTGCGCATCATTTGTCCCCGCTATCTGCTCCGTCGTTAGGTCCAATTCTAAAAGTGCAAATTGCACTTTTGATAGTCAAGTGCAAACACACCGATAAAGTAGTTCTGTTCTGAACGGTTTGCTCATTTGATTGTGAGGTTGAGCTATCTGCACCTTAGCTCTGCTGCATAGAGCTGCACTCTCAGACAGAGCTCCATTTTGACCACATACAGACGATAAGCAGGTGAGGGAGGGCGCACCTTTCTAGTTTATTGTGAAGTTAGGACTCGAAAGTTGTGATGTTTCATCATTTAAGACTGAGGGCGCACTCACACAAGGCCCAGTCGGGTCTGAGCACGGTTACCTCTGTATACCTCATCACATCGTAATAATTGATAGTCGTTCCCCATACCCGCTTTAAAACACGAGGTGACCATACTTTCCAACCATAGACTGTAAATGTTAATGGATGAAGCTTGAGTGACGTCAGCTGTTACTGTAGGGGGCTCTGGAGGCTGATTAGCAGCAGCTGCCATGCTAAAATCCTCCTGACCAACCATGTCATTGCACCCTGACTAACACACACACTTACAAAACAGATCAAAACAGAAGCATTATACAGAAAGCCTATATCAGACCTATATCATATTTTGTACCAGGCTGTAAACACGTTAATTTCTGCTGTAAAACGGTGCCAGCCTCAAGCTGACGCTGCAGGATTATGCACTTCTGCATTGGCTTCATTTTTCAACACCGGAGCTTGCTGCTTGTTTCCAAGCCGTCGTGCTTAGTCTCTGGAATGCTCCCCCCATTGTCTTTGCAGCCCTTAGATTACTGTAATACCTTCATGGAGCAGCCAAAAAAGTTTATTTTCAGACCTTTGAGCATTTGGTGAACTTAATCTGCATAACTGCACCACTCCAGTCTTCTTCTATTGTCTTATTTTTCTGCTTTTATATCTCAGTGATATTTGCTTTTTATGCATCACTCATACTCATTTGTGTTATTGTCTTTTTATTGTTCTTTGCTTTTTTATTTAGTTGTATTGTGTACTTGTTTGAAAGTAAAGCACTCTGTGACCTGTCTCTGTGAAAGGTGCTAAACACATCAACTTGACTTACTTACTTAAAGCTCTTGTGAGGAGAATTTCTGGCTTTCCTCCATTTGGCGACCACTGTGGCCAAAGAGGTACCTGTAATCTCTTTGCTGATGTTGCCCTACACTTCTTGAGTAGTGTTGCTATGATGAGAAACCTCATCCTGTTTTCTCTTAAAAAATTAAATGTATCTCTCCTTGAGAATACTTGCTGTGGAAAATGAAAAAAAAAGTGTGTTTCTATGGCGTGTTGTTAATCTCCTCATCTGGCACCTACCCACAAACAGCACTTTAAGGCATTAAGCAAACAAACCCTGAAAAACTCTTCTCGCTGATGGTCTTGTTTACTTTTTGCTGGTCTTACAGAGGCATCAGTATCAATCTCAGTCTGTTCTATAACCAGCTCAAAACTCCTCACAGGACCATTAAAGAAAGAAAACAGCCATGACATCATGAATGGTACTCAAAATGACCTCAAAAATCTCCCCCATGAGCTCACTGTATAGTCCTCTGCAGAGTATTTTGAACGTAACCTAAGTGTTGTGTGATCATCCTGTGTTTATCTCATTGCACATCTCCCTGTGCAGCAGTGTTAACATGTTTATATTGTATCCTTACTCTTTGACTACAATGTTCAGATGTAAGGACGTGCTAACTTTGGAGTATCAGTGTGTTAATCAGGATTGTCCTCTAGGCTCTGACTCTGTTGGATTACCTGCTGAAGACGGGATCAGAGAGAGTGGCTCAGCAGTGCCGAGAAAACGCATTCACTATCCAGGTACTGAGGGGGACACGGCACTTACATTGATGCTTTATATGTGATTGTTGGATCATCATCAGTTTTCACATCACTGCTCCTCCTGGGTACCTTTGGAAAAAAAAAAGATTGTAATTAGAAATTCATGTTATTTACAAAGTCAGAGCCTTTATAAATGCAGAGTTCTTCTTAAAATGTCCTGAATATTCTGGCTGCTTGTGTGAATGCAAACGGACACATTTTTCACCCCAACTTTATCTGGAGTTGTTTCCGCCATCCCCCTATAAAATGTTCTGCAGGAATACAGTATGAGCTGATGTTTGAACAGAGTAGGTAGTATGATATAAATTCAGAGAGCGGCAGGTGAGGCTGTCTGATGACGACCAGTTCGGCACACAATGAAATTACGTCATACACCTTTCTCTTCTGCATTTTCTTCTTCAGTCTTTGGTTTATACAATACATACACAATACACTGTCTGACGCAGAATCCCTTTCACGTCAATTCTTGCATCTTAAGACCCCCCCCCCACCCCCACCCCCCAACTGATTGCTAAAATCTTCATTCAGGTAATTATGTGTGAAAGAGCAACTCAGGAAGATTTCAGGGGCAGACTGTCCTAAAACAAATATAAATATTCAGGAGAGCATGTGTGTAAAGGGCTTTAGAAAGCATCACTTTATTGATCCCCAGAGGGGAAATTCACAAAGACAAGGAGCAAGTAGTTAGTACAAAATAAAAATTAAAGTGAAGTGAAGTGAACCATAAAGGACAATGAAGACATTCTGTATATAAAAGTAAAAAAATTAAAGAAAGGTCAAAGGCTTTTCTAATGAATAAAATATGTTTTAACGGAATAACCTTAAAATAAATGATATCAAATCCGTTTTAATATCTTAAATTTGCCTTAAAGTTGATGTTGTTTCTCATATATGCGTGATCTTTGTTTTTTTTTCAAGACTCTGCGTGACTTCCAATACGTGGACCGGGACGGCAGAGACCAGGGAGCCAATGTGAGAGAAAAAGCTCGCCAACTGGTGTGTCTCCTCCGGGACGAGGAGCGACTCCGCCAGGAGAGGAGTCAAGCATTAAAGACCAAGGAGCGAATGGCTGGGGGAGGCAGTGGTGGGGGTGGGGGTGGGGGTGGGGGTGTTGGTGGGGCCGGGGGGGTGTATGGAGGTATACCCCCATCTTACCACCCAGGGAGGCGAACCAGTCAGCCCAGCATGGCTGTGCTGTACGGGGAGGAGTTCAGCCGCTCCAGAGGTTCTCCCTCCTCCTTTAACTGTGAGTATCTGTAACCAGCGTTCACTCTGTGCAACTCTTGTTTTTCTGCTTCATGCCCTCCTGAGGGAAATGTATCGCTTAGAAATCCATTATCTTCACAAGCTTGTCTCTAACTGTGACTGCTGTCTGCTGCTGAGCACGGAGAGTACAGTCAACTTTTAGAGCCTCATTCCCGACTGTTTCATCTGCTCTTTTGTTGACAGTTCCAAGTCAACAAAACCATAAAATCCTATTTCAATCTTACCCTTGTGATGATTGTCCAATTTAGTTGTCTTGCTTCTCTTATACACTTCAAAGTGGAATTCCAATCCCACTGTCCCCTGAAGCCAGAGAACCAAAAAGCAGCCACTTCAGTCATTAATTGTATAGCTACAATTTTTAAGAGTGTTATCTGGAGACACTTTACAAAAGAGCATATGGGATAATATGCAGGAAGGATTTCTCCTTTGTATTCCTTGCGTTCCTGTTGTCCACACTTCATTGCTGCTGAGGTAGAGGTCGGAGCAGGCCGTGCATGAATGACGACAGCGATGGTAGTGGGGACGACAGACTCTGATGATGGTGGCTGGACATCAGGCGGTGGTTGAGACGGAACAGTCCGAGGGTGGGTGTCTAGGCGTCAGGGACGTCGGGTGGTAACTTCACTTGTGTCAAAAGTGACAACTGTGGATGAGCTGGGTGTTTTTTTTTACCTTAAGGGTGGGGAGGGATGACAGTGAGTCTATTCAACACTTCTTTGTGCTTTAAGTCAAAACAAAGACTTGAGGAAGGAAAGAATTATTATTAAATGTCTGGTCAATTCATAGATTTTACTTTTAGATAGACAGAGAAACGGCCGCCTGGGAGTGAAGAAAATGTTTTTGGAGCTCCCCCTGCTGGCTGGCTGCAATATAGGCCATAAACCCTGCCTTCTCCATGTTAACAGATGGGTGATGGGTCGAGTTAAATTACACATTAAATACATATTTGGTGCACCAGGATTCTGCTGGATGGTTATAATCATGACGACTAATGTCCAAGTGTTTATTTTTCTTATTAGTTTTGTTTTTATTAGTTATTTGATATTTGATGCAACAAAGAGCAGATGCAACATCATGATTGACAGCTCGGTTTTGTGAGTTAAATTTGTGCGTTGGTTGGCTAAAGGGGCTCCCTCCTGCTTATGTCATGTTTCTAAATTGCATCACTAGCGTAATACGTCAGCGACCCTTCTGGGGGTATTTTGCTTTCACATTTCTACAACGAAAAGAGATGGAGATGCAATGTCCATAAAAATATAAAGTCTATGTGCCAATGCCGCTCAGTCCTTTAAAAACCTGCTTCCTGGGGATTTTGTATGAAACCAGATCAGGGCTTAGGTTTTAGAGCTTTGTGGCTTCAGGCAGCTGCAGCATGTTGCGGCAGAATTAAGAGCAATGAGAGTGAATTCAAACAGCACAGCATGAGCCAGGTTGCAAAAATATTAGCTTCAACTTTCTACACTGTTCCGAAGGAGGCTGAAAAAAGCTCCAGATCCAGATGATTGTTCCCTTTCCATCCACACAACACATAATCACTGTCACAATTGTCATTTGATATGTTGTCGTGATGAAAATATGGATTGGACGGTTTTAATCCAAACCTTTGTGGAGACCCTCAACAGCCTTTTTTGTGTGCTGGGAATTTGTGCATAAATGGATAGAGCGTTAAAAATACACAGACTGATCTCTACTGAAATGCGATTTTGTGCTGTAGCCCAGCACTTTGGACAATCCAGCACATAGATTATCAATACTGCAGTGCAGGCCTGGAAATATTCAAATCAGCCCCACACGTCCTGTGCTCCCAGCTAATGCAAACCCAAGTCAATCTGACACTTTGTTCCCCTCTGCAGCCTCGTCCTCGTCTCCGCGCGCCGCCTCAGACCTGGAGCAGGCTCGACCTCAGACCAGCGGGGAGGAGGAGCTGCAGCTCCAGCTGGCTTTAGCCATGAGCAGGGAGGAGAGTCAGAAGGTAGGACAATACACACACACACACACACACACACACACACACACACACACACACACACACACACACACACACTTATATTATGATAATGTGCTCCTCTTGTACGTCAGCATATCCTCCCACTACGCACTCTCTCTCTTCCGCTGTTTCGCAGCCACACACGTCTCATTCCCTCTTGATTCCAATAATGAAAATTTTGTTACAAACATTGTGAACATTCGCCCACCTTCTTCTAGCTTGCCTTTCCACTCCCTGTTACCATAGAGATGGATGAGGACACACAACTACAGATTGCAAAAGGAGCGTGAGAAGGGGACACACACAAAAAAACGCACCTCAACCATGAGCCTTCACTTTCACTTTTATTAACCCTCGAGGGTGTGTCCTCGTGTGGTTTTGACTCTGTGTCCGTCTGACAACTTCCTCCCTAACGTTTTCTCCTCAGTCGACTTTCCTCTTCTCAGGGCCTCTGCTGGATCGCAAACTGTTCAGATTTATTTATCTTTTAGGACTCTATAATTTTACATTTTTGGATAATTTCTTTCACTGGTATCTCTGTCCTCCACCTTTTTCTTGGTAGAACTGTTTTGCTTGAGATTAGAATAATCCAACACATTTGTTTTGAGGACCATTCAGTCTTATGTTCATTTTCCCAGGTTAAATAACTGGAATGAGAGAGGGAGTTCAACACCTAGTACCTGCTCCGTACACTTCTCAAACTGTTTCGATTTTGCTGTCCGCTCTCCTCCTTCAGCTTTTTACACATTCTCTCTTCTCTCTCTTACGTCAGGGTTCAATTTCTGCACAAAAGCCACCAGATTTGACTTCATGTTGGCCAAAACTTTTCACTTGAGTCCATTGTGTTTGTGTGCGTATTTGTGTGTGTATGTGTGTGTTTGTTCATGCTTGTTGCCAAAATGTTGATGATGTCACGATGCTGCCCCTGCAGGAGCAATGCTGTCGCCAAGGAGACGAGTCTCTGTTACAGAAGGCCCTGGATGAGAGCAGGAGAGAGAGCCAGTCAGAGACACAGGAGGTGAGTTCAAAAATGTGTGTGTGTGTGTCTGTGTGTGTGTCTGTGTGTGTGTGTGTGTGTGTGTGTGTGTGTGTGTGTGTGTGTGTGCTGCAGAGTATGTGTGTGGGTGCAGGCATGCTAAGTATGTGTTTGCATGGAGAGGTGGGCGGTTTGTAGGCGGTTGCTGGCAGACATGTAGAGAGTGCAGTGGAGTTTATGGTGCGGGCAGTGTTACCGGGAGGAGACGTAAAAGACGCGGATGAGCAGAATGAGAGAGAAACATCAGAGAGCCGAGAGAGGGGAAAGACGTGTCTGCTGAATGATAATGACTGTGTCTCCTCTAACCTTGAGCTCAGCATGACATTTCCCTGAAAGCATACTCCTTATCTTGTAGCACACCAGCTCCTTTACTCATTGGCCTGTCAAAGAGCCAATCAGAGTCATCGGCGGCCTTATGTAAAGGTCGCCCTGCCTTGTAATTGGTTATATTATGTTACTTATCAATGTAATCTTGGAGCTTTCAGGTGCTCAATAGAAAAATGGAAAATAAGTCCTAGAGTAAAACTGTCAGAGGGCGTTGTAGTCATTCTCTGATTGATGTATCGCTGATATTTTCACAAGGTCAGCCACATGACAAAGATTATAAGGTTTCCGTAATCATCCATTCAAGTCAGGTCAAGTGACATTTATTAATAAAGCACATTTGCACGCAGAGTGCTGTACAATGCTTCAAAAAACATTGTACAGGAGTTCATAACATCCACAAGAATAAAGAAGCAACTGTAACAAAGAAAAACCTGAGATTAAGGACCAGAGGACTAAAACGCTAACATATAAAAATAAGTTTTGATGCAGGAGAGTCCACAGAGGAGGCAGACCTGATGGAATAAGGAAGGCTGTTCCACAGTTTAGAGGCGTTGACTGCACAAGCAGGATCAGCTTTGAGCTAGAGACGTGAGCGAGGGACAGCCAGGAGGCCCATGTTGGATGATCTCTAAGGGGCCTAGATAAAGTATACGGGTTAAGGAGGTCGGAGATGTACAGGGGCCAAGCCATTCAGGGCTTTAAAAACAAACAGTGCAACCTTAAAATTGATTCTGAAGCATATTAGCAGCCAATGAAGGGATGCTAGGACAGGACTGAAAGGCTCCCTCTTACCTAAAAGACATTCAGTAATGTCTATGATTTAATTATCTTTTATTTGATGGTTTTATTTTGGAGAGGTACAAATAATGTAGTAAGAGATTAGCTCATGACCTCCTGCAGACACAGTTTGAGACATATAAAAAATTAAATTATTGAAATATAGTTTTTGTCACTGCTAATGTTCACCTGCAAAAACTCCTGAAAAATATTCCCTTAAATTGTCAGGGAGCGCTGCATGCGTGAAGGCAAACGGCAGAATTTTTCACCCCAACTCTACCTGGAATTTTTGTTATTGTGTTGGAATCATGCAGCAAACTATACGAAATTAAATAAATGTTTCCTGCCATCCCCCCTTTGTAAAATGTTCACCTGTAGTTAAGATGAGCTGATGTGAGAACCAGCAGGTAAAAGTCAGTAGGATTCACCACAGACAAGCAGGCAGGGTCGATGTGACCAGTGAGCAAACGGTGTGATTGTTGTGCACTTCATACTCTTTTCTTCTACCACTTGGTTCTTTTCCTCTCATTCATTGTTCTTGTGAATACGTTGCATGAAGGCAAAAACAACTGTCAACATATGAAGGGGCGTGTCCAGAGGGGTGGCCCCTTTGAAATCTGATTGGCCACCACAGTTGCCACCACAAAAATCCTAAACTATGATTGGCTATTTGCCTTGTCCGAGTCGGACCGGTGTAAAAAACTACTTTCTGGGGTTTTTTTTGCAAAAGGTTGCTTTTAGTTTCTTGTATTTTTTTATAAATACTTTTCACATCTGTTTCATTAGACAGGTACATAGGATCGGGTAAAAAAAACTCTCAAGTCTCAAATATAAAACATGCAGTAGAAAGTAACCGAACAGAGTCGGTCATACATCAGCCGTTGTCAACAGACTGTTGTCATAGAGACAGGACGGACGTGGACAGTTCTTTTCTGCCGCTAGGTGGACACAGGGCTTAATGAGATATTTATGTTTCCATTATCTCGTCTCATAAACTTTATATTAAATATGATATGATAAATTGTTCAAGAAAGGGTCAATAATTGCTATTAATTTGTGTGTGTGGGTTTGTTTGCACATCAAACTTCAGGCCACCCCTGCAGAAGTCAGTGCCCCAGTTGGGCCACCCCAGTTATAAAAGTCTGTACACGCCCCTAAACTTATCAATATAGTGTCTCTGTCACTTCGTCTGCCAACTTGGATTTCTGCAGAGACACTTTTTACACCATGCCTCCTGAACAAATATTATACGTATGTTCTTTTGCTCCTTTCTCTTGTAGTCAGCCATGCTGGACCTGGTGGACATATTTGGCTCTTCATCTGAGGCCAAACCTCCACCTAGAGACCCTTGGAACTCTTCCCAACCCCCCTGTGATGACACCTCCGACCCCTGGGACTCTGTAGGTGGGTGGCTCTTTATAGACGCACCAAGCTAGAAGCTAGATCTGCTGAACTCTCTCTTTGTTTCACATTCTGTCTGTTTTTGTGTTTTTATCACCTAACATCGAGTGTTGTGTTTCTTCTTCAAAGCGGTCCACTCCAGCACTCCTGTGATTGGCAGCCCTTGGACAGCCCCTCCCTCGTCTTCAACAGCATCCAATCCGTGGGCTCCATGTGCAAACTCACACTCAGACCCCTGGGAAGCGGCGCCCGTCTCCTCCAGTCCTGTCAATCATGCGTGGGACAGCCCAACCGACAGGGGTACGGGTAGAAACCCCCCCTTATCAATATTTATATACATAATGTGGGTCCAAAAATATAAAAACAGCACTCTACCGAAGACTCAACTGTTTTAAATTTGACATGCAGATGGTGCCGGAGCTGATCCATTCGTTGAACAGGAAGACGAGAAGCCTAACTCCGAGGTTCCTCAAGTTTCCTCACCGCAATCTGCGAGTCCCACAGGTAATAAAACATGACTTATTATTTGGAAAGATTTAATTTAATTCATGGGGGGGTAAATTAGGTGAAAAATTGCAGGACACAGTGGAATAAATAAATGAATGTAGAAACTAACTGAATGAATAAGTGTCCTCATAGAACACAAGGGGTCACTGAAGGGCTTTAAAATGATGCGAGTCATAGGCTACTTCATTAATGATAGTAAGATCCTGTTGCTACACGTCAGACATTGCTCCTTCCTCCTCGTCATCAGAACAGATAATAGGTCCAAGTGTTCTGGAAGAATGCTGCGATAAATTTTGGTTTCTAATTCCACGATCCATGAAGCTGCTCTGGTTGCTTGCCGTAGTGTTTCTAGTGGCCCGCTTAACTATTATGAAAGCTCCTATGAGGAGTTTGTAGCTAATAATGAAACATAATTATTTTAATGCTGGTGCCTCTTAATGACCTTCATAGGAAAAAGAGATCATCAGGGGAAAAAAATATTATTGCTACCATCATGTAGGTGTGAGATGAGGCGATTCATCACAGCAAGCTGCCTTTGTTCACATTTTCCATGTTAAAGATTCAAAATTAATATTAGCTAGTTTGACTGTAAGATGAAGCAGGATTACTAATTTTTAAAACATAAAAAACAAGATCCTTAAAGAGATAAGAGGTACTGCTTTCTCCACAGGGGGGTGCCAAAAACAATATAAACATATTTTCCTCACAGGAACTTTAACCTCAATTTGTAGGAAAAATAAAAGTGGTTACTGCAGAGTGTCATCATCATTTCTTTATCAATCAGCCATGCAGTGTGCATCCCATTTTATCTCAATAACTATTTCTGATTTAATATTTCCTTGCAGAGGACGAGCTGTTTGGGGTAAAGTCTCCAGACTCTGACCCCTTTGTCGAAGCAGATTCAAAGCCAGATCCGTTTGGGTCTGACACCCCGGTGAAGCCCCTTGTGAATGGACGCGAGTCATCCAGTCCAGAGATGTTTGATCTGACCCGGCTAGCACCGCCCCTCAGTGCCCCGCCCACACGTATGTGTCGAACTCCAGAGGCCTTCCTGGGACCTACAGGGGCCTCGCTGGTCAACTTAGACGCTCTGATAACCTCAAATCCCCCTACCAAGATGCTCAACAACCCCTTCCTCTCAGGTAAACCACAACTCAATAACGACGTCATGTTTCTGTTCCAGGTAGAATATGTAACTTTGAGTGTAGATGAACAGTATATATACTTCAGCACCAATCTGTCAAACCAAAACAAATCTTTTTTGTATGGCCATACCTCTTCCTCTTCCCCTCCCTCAAAACGAGTGCAGCCGTTTGTAACACGGTTTGATAAGTCTTCTCCTTCACTTGTTCTCTTGCGATGACACTTCGCCATTATGCCTCTACAAACATGGTTCCTGAGTGGGCGGAGTCTCTCTGTCCCTGATGCGGTGGTAGGGCGAAAGTTTGGAGAGGGGAAACAAACATATATCAAACATGTTTGAGCTTCTGAGTGACTCATTAACAAGCTGTCTGTCACTGTGAACACAAAGCTGAGAACAACACACCCAGACGGAGTTTGACTTCACTCTTCTTTTCAGAAAGTCGTCACTTAATGATATAATTAGTTCAGATTTGACATTTGCTACATGAATGTTCTGAAACGTTGCATATTATACCTTTAAAGAAAGACAATTATTATTTTTCCTAATTTATTCCTGCCCTCAAAATTCTCTTTTTCCAGGTCTGAGCGCTCCGTCTCCCACCAACCCCTTCCACTGTGACCAGCCTCGCCTCACCCTCAACCAAATGCGACCGCACTCCACATCCCCTCTGCCCCCCCACATGCTCTCCTACAGCCCGTCGCTGCCCCTCCCTCTGCACCACCACCCTCCGATCCTGCCCTCGTCTTTCACACAACCTCCTGCGGGACTCCTGGACATTCCCTCCAACCTCCCGCAGCCTCTCCTCCCCCTCTCTCCACGACCGGCAACTCGCACTCAATCCCAGACACACGCACACAACCACAACCCCTTCCTCTGAGACCGCTGCATCTTTTGAGACGACAGAATGGACTCTTTTCTTTTTTGGATCAATCTATGCTGACTACAAAGAGATTTGTTTGAATGAGCCTGGACTGGACTAAGGATTGTGTTCTGATGTCATTGTGCACACTTGAAGCGGGATCGAACTTGGACTGGATGAATTTGTGTCTGAAGACACATCAGCTGCTATATTACCTGAACTCTTGAAGCAAAGCTAGCTCACGCACACACACACACACACACACACACACACATATATTTTATATACACTCAGGCGCACATGGACACAAACATGCACACACCAACAAACAAACAGGGTGTATCCTAACGGTCCCTTCGATGCCTTTTCCCCATCAGCAGAGACGACTCCGAGCACCCTCCGACCACACACAGAACTGTTCCTTTAGCGATGAGTCCACAGATGATGATTGTCCACCATCAGGATACCTTACCGCTGCTGCTTCACCGACAAAAGCATGAATGCACCCCACGCCCCCCGAGAATCCAAACTATTCTATTCTGCAGAGCACCTGAGATGACTCCTTCTAACAAACCCTCTTTTGTTTCTGATGAGTCAAGTAGTATCTTGAGCTTTTTTTGGCACAAGTGAAACAGTGGAGACGGTCCAAAGGTTAAAGGTCCTGTGAGGAACTTTTATTTTACGTACATGAGAAAGTGTTTTTTTTTGTCAGACGTATCACTAGCTGTGAGTCTTCAGTGCTTTTTTCTGCAGCATACAGTAATAGAGCTTTGTGGGGGGACCATTTTCTTAATCATGCTCCCTCCCGCTCCAGCGATCCGATATCGATATTAGGGAGAGAAAAGAATCTGATATCTGATCGGTTCAAAATTAAGAAATTCGTCCAAATGCGAGACATGCCTTCCTTTCTTTGATGTTGTGCTCGTTTTATTGTCATTAGTTGATTCCATCATTGTTGGCATTAGCTGAATCATGGACCTGCCGGGATTTATTATGACAGCCCACTCCCAACCGCAGCAACGTTAAAACCGCCGGCAAGATTTGCGCTGGGTCTCGCAATCCCAATGCAACCCTCTATACAATAACTCACTTTGTCTGAAACTAAGCAGGAGTGAATTCAGATATTATAAAATAACTAAAAAGAAGAAGTCGATCTTTAGTCTGACGGGCTTGCTTATTTCTGTCGGTCATAGAGTGGCTTTAATATTAGTTTCAGTTTGTTTCACAGCTATAAACTCCTCACAGGTGCTTTAAAGCTTTAAGGACACATTTAGCTCTGTTCAAGAACTACTTGACTCAAGTCTTCCTTTTGACATGAACACTATAATATTTGATTTCTATTTTCCGTGCAAGCTCAGAAGCATCTGATACTGAATGAGTTCGGTTTTGTCCAAGACAAGGAGCCCGATCAATGTCCAGAATGGATTAAAAACTGGACTAAACCAGCCTAAGCAAGAGTTTATTGTCACAATCTGCACCTCCACTGGTCTTGATTGTTCCCTATCAGACCCCCGTGCCCGTCTCCACAGCTGACCCACAATGCATTCCCGGCTGGATCATACTGGGCCCCACAGAGGAGTGAATGGAAAGTTATTTTATCTACGAGAAGACGACAGAGAGATCAAAGACTTTATGAAGAGTAAACGAGGAGGAGGAGCTAAGGGAAGATGAACGAGAACAAAAGTCAGATTTTTACAGGTGTTAAACTGACATCAGTTACTTTTATGATCGGATCAAGAGAATCTGACATGAAGAGATTTTTGATCATCACTGCACTGAACCTGGACCTGAATGTGAAATGCCTGCCCATAGATACACACAGGCTTAGTACATATGTATTTAACAGAATGACTCCTATACAGTATTATGAAATATTATACCAATAAATGAATGGTGTTTGCATTATAATCCAAAGTGTTTATGTGGTTTATTTTTGATTTATACATCCTTTTCATTTATCAGGAGTAAGACCCAATTTATATCCCCCCCCCACCTTCACATATACACTCTCAATTTATACACTCACAATCAATACTACATGTGATTATACATATTCACACTGTTAATGGTAAACGGTAGCTGGACTTAAGCTTTTAAAGTGTCCATCAGTAGTATCTAATCACTTTCATGCACATTCATACCCTGCCAACAGCGGGAGGAACTTGGGGTTAAGTGTCTTTCCCAAGGAAACATCAGACCTGTGGTTGCAGGAGCTGGGGATCAAACCTCTGATATTCTGGTTGAGAGACGACCGACTCGTCCAACTGAGCCACAGCCGCCTCGTCTTGACACGTGGAGAAGAACAACCTGGAAAGCTTACAAGAGTCGACAATCACAACTGTGACATACAGGTCGTGTCTCAGAAACGTCTTCATCTCCCCCTGCCCCGCTCGCACTCTGTGAATGTTACTGAATATTTACTGCTTTGTTCACGAGTCACCCCGACTTTATGCAGACGTTTAACTAGGAGGCTCACTGTCAACGTTCTAAAAAAATATAGCTTTTTGCTTTCACACTTGCAGCTTGAGTTTTGTGTTATGTTTGAAAACATCATATGAGATATAAGAGTGAACTTTTCAAGATGTTATGAAAATCCAGGTAATAAGAATGACCTAAACAAAAAACAGAACAGAAACAAAGAAGAGTCATTGAGAATGAAACCTTGACATGCACAAGTCGCTGTTCCTCATGATCATATAGCATCTATAAAATCAAACCTCATTCACAGGGGACTCTTTGTTTCTGTTCCTCCTTTGAAGAAGTCTCTTTGACACCTCACGTCACAGTCTGTATCATTTCTGTATCATGATGTGTCAGTATCATCATACCATGTGAAGTTAGTTAGTTGCCAAAGAGAGAATGGAATTGATATGATCAGTTTTTCTCATCGACCACTAGATGGCGATATTGACACAGTGCACAACAGTTATAGCGCCTTACCAGTAATCTTCTCGACTGGCACCACCCTGAAGTGTCGATTACAAAAATTAAAAAATTAACTGAATATAATCAGTCCTCTCGTTGATGTTCTTTCTTTGCATTTTAAGACATATAGAAACATACAGTCTGTTTCATAAGCAGCTGAAACCTCCTCACTCATAGAAGCTTTAAAAAAGTACTGAGGTCCCAACCTGCAGCCGACCCTCTGCAGGGAGCCATACTAAGACTTATCTACATGCTACTGCATATGTTGCTACCAAGCAGTAACCTGTGGTGCTGAAAAATGATCCAAAGCTAAAGTGCTAAATAATGCAGTTCCTCATGTTTTCACTTGAGGCCGGATGCAAGCCACCAAAGTCCCAACAACAACCATGTTAGAATACTCATTTTACAGCACAAATAATCGTGTTTACAGACTGCTTAAAAAAAAATCCGTAGCATAGCTCAGGATTTTATTGGTTCAAAGTGTACGGGGGAGGGTTTATAACTAATTGGACAGGTAGATGTTCTGTAGGTGTTTGCCAGGAGGCTTAAGGCCCGCCTTAGCTTCACGTCTTGGAAAGTTAGACGGAGACAGAATTTCCAATAAGGATACTGCCATCGTTGGGCTTCAAAAGGCTGCTTCAGAAACCAATGGGTGATGTCACCGAGACAACATCCATATTTTATACGGTCTATGGTTGCGGCAGAAACAAAATTAAAATGGCAAACAACTGTCTCAACAGGTCAAATGCACACAATCCCCTTAAAAACAAACTGACGAAGGAAATCATAACGCCACACACACACATACACACTTCTCTTCTCTTTGATGTCTGGCATTTCTGTCCAAATTAAATCAAGTGCATACTGATCACAGATCTAAACAGATGCAGTCTCCCCCTCCACATACAGTACCACCATGTGCTGCTGATTTGATTGAGGAAGGGACATAAACAGGCGACAGTGATGGATTGTTAGAGCAGTTTTGAGAGTGAGTGCAGAGTATGTTTTTAGTGTTTAGGTTGATTAGACACCCGCAGGTGACCTGAACCTCTGATTCAGCTTTCTGAGTATTCATATTTTAGCTTTTCATGGGTGACTGTCTGCACCTATCAATCTCATTAGGTCATTAAAATAATATCTGGTTTTCTTTAAAAGCTGTGTGCAATACTCCAGAGAGGAAAGATAGATGGTCCTTCACACTCGTGGAGTCGTCCAAAAGACGAAAGCACAAAAAATAAATCACGTCTCTGTTAGCTGTTTTCATAAGAGTAGAAAAACATGCAGTCCCCTAACTATTGTACCCTAGAAGAGGTGTTTGAGTGTGTGCGTGCGTGTGTGCGTGCGTGCGTGCGTGCGTGCGTGCTGATATGCATCTATACAATCAGGCCAAATTCTCTCTCCTTTTCCTGCACTCAAGCATGAGAGAACAATTCCTGATCTTGCCCCGGTCCGTCGCTTCCTTTGGAGCTGTGCGTTCTGCCCTGTAGTGAAATGTTTGTCCAATGTATCCGTTTATTCAGTGATAAATAGAGTCCAGTCCGATTGAAAACACTTCTGATATGTGGGAGTGATTATTCTGCTGTGTGGTCTGTCTGAATGTTTCCCTAATTTAATAGGATTGTCTGTCTGAGATATAAAATTCAGGACTAATCGAAATATCTCTAGAAATTAGCAAGATGAGACAGAGTTGATGCTTTGTTCATGTGTGCAAGACAGAAGTAAAAGTCTTCAATACTTTAGTCTTTTTATTACCAATTAATGATTTTATTAGGACAACAAAAGAACAAATAAGGAAGGATGATTAGTACATGTGAAGGAGTTCATATATGTGCTCTGGAAGTATACTGTCAATCTAATGGGAAACACAAAGACATTATCAAGCACTGATATTGCTTTAGTACTGAAACACTAACTGTGGTCTTTTTCAATTTAAGTTCATGTCACATATAGAATGACTGATACATGCTGATAAAACACCCGGAGGGGACCAAAAATACCTTATAGCACACTTTACTACCTCCACCTACAACCCTACTACACACTCAGTCTCTCTCTCTTCATTTCTCTATTTCTCCCTTATGGTTTCTCTATCATTATTGATTTGCTCTTTGTTGTAAATGAAAATGTAAACACAAACAATATTTTAGCCCATCATGTTTTTCTGTCTGATCATCAAGGCCTCTAAGGCTCACTATGGGAGACATACAGTAGAGAGAGCTGTGCTGTTACATGTCATCAGAATTCGTCTGATAACTCAAAGGAAGGAAATGGCTATTTATTTGTCGAAAAAATGTTATTACCTTTAAATTCACATGAACTCTCAACACTCTTTAGTTTTTCTTCTGATTAAGACAAAAAATGAAATATTGTTTACTGATGGAAAAGTGATTCTTTAAACTACAGTAATTAATCATAACTACGCTCCTTTTCTTTAAAGTGCTCTAGTATTTTTTTTTTTTTTTTAATTCCTTAATACATTTCCTGCTTTTACTTTTTTTATGTTAAAAATACAGATGAATTTTTCCACCAAATACTTTCAACATAAAACTATATAATAAAGCTTTGAGGTTTTGTTATTGATGTTGAAATATATAGCTTTTTTTAATCACTTCCTGTTACTGGTTGACCGCTACACTAAAATTAAGTTACAAGAAAACCGATTAATCTCCATGAAAACTCCAATAATGACATCAATGTGATGTGGCAGAAAGCCGAAGCATAATTTTCTAACTTTAATAATGTTGATTAATTGCCAATTTTTAAATTACATTACACAAAATTGTCCATCTTATTTTATTTTGAAACGCTCAATTCTAGTTTCTTAAATTTAATATAGCATTAATTTATTATTGAAAACAGAAAAGTAAGCTTCCATCTGCTGCTACAGCCAATCCAGCTGTTTGATGCTGTGAGACGTCACTCTTCCTCATGATTGACGTCAGCTCTAGCCAATCCCGTGGCTGTCCGTGTTTTGCACGAGCCAATGAGCGTCTGAGATGTAGTGTTTGCGGAAGTTGAGATCATTTCTTCCGCACTGCCAGTTGTGAGCAGCGTTTTGCTGAAATTAGTTACTTCTCCGTTACAAAATGTACAGATTAAATACCAACACATGTATTTTTTTTTGACGTGGATCCATATTATGAAGAAAACAGTGACAAAATGAGTGCTTACTGACATTTCTGTTCACGTGTATCCAACGTGGGCCACTCCACGTCGCTCCTCGTTTGTCTCTCCAAACATTTGCTTTAGGCTTTTTGTTTCCAACCATTACTGAACTTTAATCTGCTGACGCTTTGGATTACGGTGGTCTTGTTGCATTGAGAGTTAGTGGACTCTCCGGGCAGATTCACGGAAACATGAACCCACCGAAGCGGCTCCGCAGTGAAGCTGAAACCCCGACAGGAGGGCGGGAGGAGGAGGAGAGGGAGGAGGAGGAGGAGAGGGAGGAGGAGAGGGGTGCAGTGGATGTGGTCAGTGATACAATTTTACATTCTCCCATTCATTGCTTTGATTTACTTATCTAAAGAGATTATACACGCAGTAGCAGAGATGCATAGATAATGCCAGTTTCTTTTTCTGTGTTCTCTCTCCGGTTACATTTAATCACACAACTATTTATGACAGCTTAGGCTTTTTGTTTTGTAAAAACTTGCGCTGTTGATGTTGCTTTGAAGCAATCTTCTTAGCTAACTATTGTCAACATTTTCCCACAAAATTTCACCCTATATGATCTATGAACAATGATTTGACCCGATGATCTCCCTGAACTGATGTTGGTATTTATCTTTCATTGGTTGTCCATGGCTGTTTGTTCTTGTATTCAGGGGTAGCACTGACTGTAAGATATGTGTCTCTGTGTTTTGTGTACTCAGAGTATTGTCATGCCGATGTACAATGCATCGTGTTGGTTGGATGAATGTCTGCAGGCCATTTCACTCCAAGACTTCACAGGGACCATGGAGCTCTCCGTCTTTGATGATGCAAGCACTGTAAGTTTGTTTATTCTGCTTATAAATATCTAATTCTATTGAGATCATGGTTTAAATTGTGTGTGTGCATGTGTGTGTGTGTCCTACAGGATGACTCCAGGAAAGTTGTGGAGGGGTGGAGGGAGAGGCTGGAGGCGAGGAGTATCTCTTTGGGGATCTCTGGTCACGACTCAGCCCAACCCAGAGGAGGTGAGTCGACTTGAAGCAGCTTGTCTTGTAGAGCTGTAGCTTCAGCAGTTCATCAAGCCATTGCTCATAAATCAGGCATAATCATTCAATCTACACAAAATAAATCAAAGTCCTTTTACCAGGAGTTATAAGATATCTCCTGTCTGTGAGGGAGTTCATAACTCTCCTGTTGGCTTTTGGTCCAGTGTTCAAAAGCAGGGGCTTTCTTGTCTAGACATTTATTAAGTGTGTTTCTTCGAGATACGAGACACTCAACTCAGGATGATATGGTATCTGTCACAATACTGGATTCACTAACTTTGAGTCCATAATGAAGTTGTGAATTGAATTAATGAATTAACACAAACACACATGTAAACCTGCACTGCTTTTTTTGTCTTTTAGTGGGATATGCAAAGAACAAGGCGGTATCTCAGAGCTGTGGACAACACTTGTGCTTTCAGGATGCGGTAAGTGTGTTTCATTTCTACGTCCACATGTTGTTCATTAGCCACACAGTAGTGAGTCAAACACTGATCGGACCATATTGGTTTGTCCAAATATACAGTCTGGATACTCTCATACACAGTCAGCAGCTCAGTGACTGTTTGACAGAGCTGTCAGAAAACATGACTAATGAGCTCAGAGCTCAGAGCAGCGTTTGTTTGTGTGTGTGTGTTTTCTTGTTTGTGTTCACATGAGTGGCGGCTCAGTCTTTGAAACACAGAGCTTTGGTTGTTCTTCTGGAGGCTAAAATATCAAAAATACAAACACAACATCTAATCTGTGTTCATATGTAAGTACTTCAATTTCCCCTTTTATTTAAAACAATAATTAAAACCATACAATTGCTCATATTCTTTAAGACATACTCAGCAGCCTTTTTTTTTTTGTTTCCCAAACCAATAAAGAAATCGGCAGACGAGCATTCAAGTATAAAGCTCCCTCTGACTGGAACAATCAACATCAGAGCAATAAATTCACTACACCTTTTTAATGTCCTCTAGCCCCTTTAATTTAATATCGTATATTTTGTCTTCTTGACTGCATCATATGTCACAATGTGTATCTACCTCTGATGGTTTTGTGTGGGTGCTGTGGCTTTGCGGGAGGGATATGTGGGCGGATGGGTGTGTGAGAGCCTTTATGTGTGTATGTCTGTATCACACTGTGCTGTTGTGTTTTTTGTGTTGGACCGCCTCGAAAATGAGATCATTCATATCAACGGGTCTAGCCATCAAATAAACAGAATTTCTCACAAACAGAATATTTTACATTTGACTGATTGAGTCAGAACATGCTGTTTCCACACTACTGTCACATTGAAAAGAAAAATAACCTGCACACAGCACACTACTCTTGTTGATTATCACCAATTTATTAGAAAGAAATCACAACGTTTCGGTTCCTCTTAACCTCTATCAAGTGTGTTGTTTTTAAATGTGACAGTTTGATGTCTACTTCATGAGACCGTTGGATGTGCGAACACCTCCTTTAAATCTCACACACACACACACACACACACACACACACACACACACACACACACACACACACACACACACACACACACACACACTCCTGAAATCCCTGATAATTACTGGACAGGCTGCTTCAGATCTTCCTGAGTTGTTTATTCACATATGTCCCTCAAAGCGTGAAGTTTTCCCTGTCAGACAGGAGGGGGGTTCAGGAGGCAAGACATGATGTAAAAAATAAAAAAGATGCCGCCAAAACCAAGATGGCAGACTAAGCTACAGAGTCTTAATTGCAGATCTTTGTCGTCATAAAAATGTTACGTTTACTGAGACGAGTGGAAAAGAACATACGGGCACTAGTGCACTGGTCGCGTGTTTTAAACATCATCACCACCCTCCCTACTCGCTCAAGAGGAATTTTAATTTATATAACCTGCTGCGCTCAAACATCAGCTCACCCCGAATTCAATCAGAAATGTTGCCAGGGGCCTGTCAGGAAAAACTCTGGGTAAAGTCAGGGGGCAAAATGTGGCTGTTTGGCACACCACAAAGATTTTTGGGTATTTCAGAGTTTTGTTTATTTTTTAAAACACCATCAGGGACTATTTTCTGGAATACAAATGTGACAACATAAGATTGCTTTCTCAGAAAACCCTCAACTTCCTGTTTTCTCTCACATTCCTCTCTTCCCTTTTACTTCTCTAAGCTATTTATATCCCTGTGCTGTTTCCTCTGAAACCTTAAATTACCTTTTTGTTTTTAGCTCCCAATTTCGATACCCCCCCCCCTTTCACTTCAGCTTTTTTTCCTCTCACGTAGTCGATGGAAATGATGTCTTGTAATAACCTTCATGGTAGTTTGTGCTTCTTTATCCTCGCCTTAGTCAAGACACATTTTTATTTAAATGTACTTCATTTCTCAGAAACCTCATTTATTTTCCGCTTTAAGTGAAATAGTTTCTGTTACTCAGCGCTGGAATTAAAATATTTGAGTAATTTTTGGTTTCAAGCGTTTTTGGCGCCCCCTGTGGACAAAGCATTACCTCTTCTTAGATCTTGTCTTGTACATATGTGTTCTGTAAACAAATCTCGTCTGTTAATTTAAACAGTAAAAAAGTATCGTCTATTGTCATTTTTGACCCTGAAGTGTAAACAGAGGCTGATTTAGCAGCTATTGGCAGCGTGCGACTTCTGACACTTACTCGGTGACAGAAGTTACAGACATTAAAATAACCATAAAGCTATAATCGGTTTTGTCCCGGATGTTTTTTTAGGTTATGTAAAGGCATCAGTATTAATTTCAGTCTGTTTCATACCCAGCTAAAAACTCTTCACAAGAGCTGTAAGTATCCTCTTCTGCTAGCTCTTAAGCTAGCTAACTAGCTAGTTATTAACTCTCTGTTCCATTAAGATAGAGAGTTAAACAGACAGAAAGACAAAAGAATGGTTTTGGTGAGTCAACTTTTAGGCAACAAAACAAAATGTTTTTATTTTCAAATAATGGTAGACCTGGGACTGTTCTCCAGTCAATCACAGGGCTGACACAGAGAGACAGACAACCAGGGACACTCACGCATGAAAGGGGGTAAAATTAAACACAGAGAGGCTCCCTGAATCAAAATCAGGAACCTCCTCACTGTGAGGCAACAGCACAAATCACTGCATTGCCATGCAGCTTAACCAGTAGTGAAATTTCTTATTTTTTAAATGTGCCTAAAGAGCCAAATTCCCGTACACAACTTACTGAGAGTCATTTAAAAAAGTCAACAAATGGTGTTAAAGACGCTCAGTCTGCGCTGAGGCTACTTAGGTGTGGAATCCAGGAGTGACTTAGCCGATCACAGTAGTTTGCAATCAACCTTAAAGGTATGATATGGGACATGGAGATCTGTTTGTTGTTCTCAGTTCTGTGTTCACACTGAAGTGACGGCGCTTCCTTCAGCTTGTTTTTGTTTCACTTGGAGGCTCATTCCTGTTTCATAAATTTTTTTATTCACGAGACTCCTCCCTGTCCAACTGTTAGCGCTGCCACCATGCACGGGAAGAGAGATGGCCCCGCCCACTCCGTGATGCTGTTTGTAGAGGCATAATAGCGACATTATGTTGCAAGAGAACAATTCAAAATGAACCAACAGATTTTCCAAAACCCCCAAATTATTTTTTTTGGCCTAAAAAGAAACAGATGACCAAATCAACTTTGAGATACAAATCATAACTTGAAAGTGACCACAGACTCTTGTTTTTGTAATGTTTATATGACTTGTCTGCTGCTCTCGGCCTAAGAAACAGAACACAAGGGGCGAGGGAAGTGTACAGACAGGAGGGGAGGAGGAAGACCTGAAGGATGAAGGAGTAGTGTCCCATGAGAGCATTTAACGTTATTTATACCTCAGAGCAATAACAACCAACAAATACTCACAACCTACAGACAGAAGACTTGAAATTAAAATGCATTTACAATTGAATATTTTACACATTAATGTCAAAATCTATACAGAAAAGAAATCCAATTTAAATTAATACTATAGTTATGATGTGAGATTTATGCTTAAATAAAATAGTGTGTAAAAAAAAATGCTCAAAATGTAAGTTTGCACATGACAGCAACAATATCTGCTGCTCTCTACACAAAGATGTACACTCCTGTGTAGTTCATCTCAGTGTAGTTCCACTCAGTGATTATATCTATATATGGAAATGAATTATATTCTGCTTCTAGCCTCTTTTACAGTAAATACTTTAATTGTATGGTTTTTATGCTCTTGTATTTTTGTGTGTTGTTCTTATGTGTTTCCAGTGTTTGGATTGGCCTCATTTTTATTGTGTTTATTATTCTCCAGGGACAGTGGGGGTCCCCAGTGTCAGGCACCCTTATGTTGGGGGTTGCAAGCTGAAACGCTTGGGAAGCCTTAACATAGACGATGGTCTTCTTGTCTTGTATACCTCAAGGAGGACAGCGGCACCCACAGCACATTCAAAGCTTTACATGTAGACAATTGCATTGGAACCTCTCATTAGGAACTTAGTAATGTCATTCAGAGAGATAGGGAACATTCAACACAGAAAAAGAAACAGAAAAGCTTTCATATACTAAATGTTTTATGTTCTAAATCCATCATTTCTGTCCTCCAGGATGACGTTATGTTGCCCCAAAGAGTTCGGCTGCAGTATGAGGCTTCTCTTCTCCAACCAAACTCTGTAAGTCCCCCCCTCCCCCCCCCCGCCCACACCTTAAGTATTCGCTTACTCACTTCCTTCCCTCACTGTTGCCCTGTGACCATCGGACCAACTCCTCCCTGAAGATCAAAAATACTCATGTTGTTTTTGTGAGCGAGCGCGTGTGTATGTGCTTCCATGCAGTTGGCATGCAGAACAGTGCGAGTATCCGGTGTTGATGCTTTCCGGGGGCCTGCCGGGTCAGAGGTTAAAGGTTGTGTGTGTGAGGGAAGTGAGGGAGACAGCGTGGAGACAGCAGGCCTGCTGCCGTGCACAAACAACCCACCCCTCTCTGTTACAGCTGTCATTGTTCCTGGTCCTGGATAAAAAACATTGATCCATCTTTTTAAACGGTCACGTCTATATCTAGAACTCTTTATGCTTTTCACTGACCTCTGTCTTCTGAAATTTGGTGTTTAAATGTAAAAAAAGGAACAGCTGATATGGCACTAGCTGTTTTCACACACACACTCCTGAAAATGTCTACTTTCTTTTTTTCACACATGGCCTCACAGCCTCAAGAAAGATGGCGGTCGAAGCTTCAGAGTCTATAAATAAGCACATGATCAAAATGTGAATCACAGGATTGACAGATTGTGCTCGGCGAACTTGAGGAAGCTACAGGCGAAAGACATTGTTCGCTCAAAATAAAATACAGTTATAAGTTATTTTTAGTGTGCCACAGAGTTTTGATTCATTTTTTCATGGTATGCTCCTGCAACCGTGCACACCTCAGAACGTACAGGCTGTGCATGAGGTCCCCTGTTGGCCACTGAGACTACGTTTACTGTTTAGTTTTTACATCAACAACGTGGTGTTTTCTGATGCACTTATTGTTTCAGTTTAAAACAAACTTCTTACAATGTGAAATAAATTTGGTCTCAGAGAGCAGCGACATTTTGATCCGTCCTGATTGTTTGTTAGACTGTCTAAGTGGACTCTTATTCTGAAGGCTGTAAACTTTTACCCAGCGATGCATGAAACTCAACGTTTAATTTTATGTCGACACATTTCTAAAAGAAGAAGAGTTGTCATGTTCGTTTATGTGTCTGTGTTTTCATGACAGCTGGTTGGATGTAAAGTTCGGCGAGTTCCAGAGGGATCTACTGAGCGTTACACTCGCTGGATCAACACAATCACACAGGACCAGCTCACCATACAGGTAGATACCTGCAGCTCGGTGCATTAGATGTGTGTATGTGTGTGTGTGTGTGTACTCATAATAGGGTTGTCACAATAACTTTGATTCTTGAAAAATCTAATGATTCATGTTTCAATACCACAGCAACATAAATACAAGTCCTAGGCATCCAATATTGGATAATTTCTTGTATTTAAATACAAAAGAAATCCAAGCCAACTCCTGCACACCGTCCAAATCGCATAAATACGTTGGAAAACATTGTTAGTATATTTGTGCACAATGCTCTCTCTCTTAATAGCAGCTTCATATTAAATAAATGACTGAAAATGTAAAGTTTTTTAAAGCTGCAGTATTTTCAAAACTATCAATCATTCATAACAGAGTTTATGGTTTGTTTTTCACATTTTGATAACATCGACTCCCACTGTGAATGTTTGTGTGTGAGAGGTCATGTGCCAGGCAGCAGCCCGGTCAGATAGAAACAGGATACATACCTGCCGTCTGCAGTTTCCACGGAAATGTGTCAGTGGACTGTATGGACCAACGCAGCATCAACCTGACCTCTCTGCTCGTGTCCCTCCCTCCAGAGGAAACAGGTCACACTGCCAGCTGTCTGCTGAGCGCAGGCCACAGGGGAAACAGTGGGCAATGGAAAAGTTCATTTATCAGACAAAACGTTTCTGCAGGCTTACTATAAGGACTCTGTTTTCTTGTGATCTGACATAAAACATTTTTATATAACCAGAGCTTTGATCCGACCTGCTTTGTGACATGAAGGCACAACACTTGAGCATTTTCAAACAAATCCATCACCACTCGAATTTAAAGGCTTTACGTCAGCTTCTTCACTCCAGCGGATTATATTTTTTAAGAATTAGTTTTAAGACACAACACAGAAAAAACTGCTCACTTTCCCTCCTGAACAGGTGAGCTCCACTTTCTCCCTCTATGTCAAGGAATCCCTTTGTCTTCCACTTCAAAATAAATACAATGGCACAAACTCATGGAGGGCCAGGAGGAAGTAGTTTGGGGGTCACAATGACTAAACGCTGCAAAGGTTACAGGAGACAGCTCAACTTGTCACAGTAGGAAAATCATGGGTGTTATTTATAACGTATAATCGCTCTGCTCCATTCAAGTCTCCCAGTTAGCCGAAACTAAGACCTTGAGATTGAAAAGAGCCTACATGCAACGTTACCGTGCTGCTACTATGAGATGCTATCTGTTCACTGTGCTCGTTTACATTCAGGTAGTAGAGCAAAGAGAGCAGGTCCATTAATCAGAGCTACAGCACCAACTAGTGGTGAGGGGCTGTGTTGCAGTTTGAGAACAACATTCGACCGGCATCGAGGGTCAAAATATTAATAATTAGTTTAACCAAGTAATTCTGGTGTTGACTAGAGGGTCGACCAAACGCACACATCCCTAAGGTCCTGGTCCTTCTTTTTTCATTGTTAATGATCCTAGTTGGCTTATTTTTTCTGACATTTTGCCATTCACTGGCTGTATTTTTTCTAGCTTTGGAAACTTGTTAAACCTTTGGGTTCAACAAGCCAAAGACTTTGTTAAATAATGGCAGCCTGACTCGGCATCCATCCATTATCTTTAGGAAGTTTTACTCCTCGTCCAGAGTGCATTTTGCGTTAGAAGTCAGGTGAGCCTTTGTGAGGACACAGCAGGAAATACTCAGGAAATTTTACAGCGAGTGAGCGGGAGGGGTGATGACGCCTAAGAGGGGCGCGAAAACTTGCTTAATTGTATTTTTCAAAAGGTTCTTCTAGGCTCTTTCATTGCTATTGGGAATATGTCAAACTACACGTGGCATTGATACAAAGCCAAAGTCTGACTCTGTTGCTTCATCCGCCTTTGTTGCATCATTATTTTTAAGCCATGTTCTAGCTCCTGTGATTCAATCATAAGTACAAGCCTATTTCCTAACAATATGGGACGTTGTGTAAAATGTAAACTAAAACAGAAGGAGACGATTTGCAAAACATTGAAACCACACATGAAATTGAAAATAGCACAAAGACAACATTTCAAATGTTAAAACTGAGAAAGGTCATTGTTCTAAAAAAAATCTATGATGATATGCCCATTTTCAATATGATGTCAACAACATGTTTAAAAACAAAATCTGGGACAGGGTCATGCTTACCCCTCCCTTGAATCGCCCCGAGGAGACCACTTTCTGTCATATTACACACATACACATATAAGACGAGTGTTTTACCATTCTTGCCTCATGTAGGATTTCAGATGTTCAACAATTCAGACCCCCTTTTTTTTTTCAAAAATTCCGAATGAGCATAACATTTTTCCAAAACAAGTTTAAGTCTAAGTTTCAACATTGGATAGTCTTTGTGCCATTTTTAATCTAATATGGGGTTCCAATTTTTCACATTCTGTTGTTATTGACATAAAACACAACAAGCCAAATACTTAGGATACAGGGGTTTGGAGTAGTTATCTCCAAAACCAGACATCTCAAATGAAAGAACCTGGCTGTGTGTGCAGGTACTACAACCAAACTGATGACACAGCCACGTTAACTCAATGTGTAAGCATTCCTACTTTGTACGCCAATAATATGAAATTATTATTCCACACTATTCCTATCCATTTTTTAATGGTTAAGTCGATCATGACCTTTGCCTACCATACTTCCAGCTCCTATTGTCTTCTTTCACCTTATGAAACAGTTACATGAATCACTAAATGATAACCAGGCCAGTCACAGTGTAATGAAACCACCGGCTGCTTTTCCATTTATGTAGAGATGGAAGTCTACTGTTGCTGTCGTCTGCACAAAACACACAGTCACCAAGGATACAAGACAACCTGGACCCAGTCTCTCTCTCTCTTCAGCACACACACACACATACACACACACACCCCACACACACACACACACACACACACACACACACACACACACACTCACAGTCTGCATAACTCCTTAGCAGACATTCCAGGATATTCATGTGATATTAAGTTTCATGGAGCATGAGAGTGAGATCATACATTGATTCTGCAGGCTTAAAAGCAGCTCCTTTACCTACCCTTTCTCTTTCTTCACTTTATATCCCTCAACTTTCAGGTTTCAGGGTTAAGAAACAGAATCTAACTGAGTTAAACCAGAGATTTACCTCGAGTATAGTGCTGGTTTAACCCGATCCAGAGCTGGACCCTGGGTGTTCATCTGTTGGCCATTAGATATGGTTATCCTAAACCTCCCCTACCCCGCTGACTCTCCCTCTCTGTCCCCTGGTTTCCCAGAACTCACTTTTATTCCTCTTATTCATGCTCTTGGCCACAGCTTACATCTGCAAAATGTTGCAATATCACAACAGAAAGAAGAGGAGTTGTACGTAGGTGGACACACAAACACGCATAAAATCACTAGATTCTGCCCAGCTGTTCATCGAGCTGAATCCAGATGTTTTTCACAGTTTTCATCTGTGATTCATTTCAGTTTGACAGTCTTTTTCTACTTCAACTTTGAATAGTCACACACACACACACACACACACACACACACACACACACACACACACACACACACACACATGCACATGTTAACACATGGCATGTGAAACACAGTGACGTAGCTGGACAAAGGAGCAGATCAACCTGGAATGACCCTCCTGTTCAACAACATTACTGCTCAGATCACACAAACACAAAGGAAAGGAGGGAGAAAAAAGGGTTGGGGTCTGGAGAGAGGGATGGGCATGAGTTCTGGATTAAAAGAAAAAGAAATATAGATGCCGTAAAATGGTCCTTGTGTGAAAGACGTTTGGATTAGAACGAGAAAGAAAGGCCAAAACGAGCTCATTCGTCAAAGATCAAGTGAGAGGGGATTGAAGAGTGTGTCCTTCCCCTGCACACTCCAGGAATCACACACCTCTGTGAGAGAGCACATGTGGCTGCACTCTAACCTATTTTGTTTGCAGGATTAGACTTTAACTTTTGCAGATTCCATCTCCGCCCCAAAAACCAAGTGGGAAATTTCCCTGAGCCACCCGCCAAATACTTTTCAAGTAGAGCTGTGTGCAGGTTTGTTTGAGAGAGGAAGGGAGAGCTTATTGATGTGTATTCAGCAGAGGAGGAATCTATTTACATATTGTAATAATCATCAGAATTTGATTGTCAGACTTGAATGCTATGGTGGTTTTATATTTGAAATAAGGAGACTTTCATTAAAGAAAAATAACAAATGTCATCCTACTCAGCCTGGTATGATACCATACAATAAGGTTGAATATGATACAGTCCAAGGTACAAAGCGATACTAAACCATACTATACCATACCATAACACACCATATCATATCACACCAAACCATAGTAAACAATAACATACCATACTAAACAATGTCATACCACACCATACCAAATAATGCAATACCATACTAAACAATAACATACCATACCATATCAAACCATATCTTATGACACCACACCAAACCATACCAAATAATACCAAATCACACCAAACCATACCACACCATATCAAATAATACAATACCAAATCGTACCATACCGAATAATACCATAACATACCAAATAATACCAAATCACACCAAACCATACTATACCATACCATACCATATCAAGCCAAACCATACCATACCATACCATACCAAACCATACCATACCATACCATACCATATCAAGCCAAACCATACCATACCATACCATACCAAACCATACCATACCAAATAATACCAAATCACACCAAACCATACTATACCATACCATACCATATCAAGCCAAACCATACCATACCATACCATACCAAACCATACCAAATAATACCAAATCACACCAAACCACACCATACCAAACCATACCATACCATACCATGCCATACCATACCATACCATACCATACCATACCATACCATACCATACCATACCATACCATACCTTACCAAATCACACCAAACCACACCATACCAAACCATACCATACCATACCATACCATGCCATACCATGCCATACCATACCATACCATACCATACCATACCATACCATACCATACCAAACCATACCAAATAATACCAAATCACACCATACCATACCAAACCATACCATACCAAACCATACCAAATAATACCAAATCACACCAAACCATACCATACCAAACCATACCATACCATACCATACCATACCATACCATACCATACCATACCATACCAAACCATACCATGCCATACCATACCATACCATACCATACCAAACCATACTATACCATACCATACCAAATCACACCAAACCATACCATGCCATACCATGCCATACCATACCATACCATACCAAACCATACCAAACCATACCATACCATGCCATACCATACCATACCATACCATACCATGCCATACCATGCCATACCATACCATACCATACCATACCATACCATACCATACCATACCATACCAAATCACACCAAACCACACCATACCAAACCATACCATACCATACCATACCATGCCATACCATGCCATACCATACCATACCATACCATACCATACCATACCATACCATACCATACCATAAACATGACAACATCAGCAAAGAGATTAGAAATATTGCTTTGTCAAGTTGGCGCCAATATGGACACAACCTGAAAGTTCCACACAGGAGCTTTAAGTTGTACCTTAAAGGTCAAGGTGTGATCGCTCATATCTCTCGTGCTTCCCAGACCCAAAACACAAACTTCATTCAAATCGAGCAAGACAAATGATCAAATTAGTTCCCTGAGTAAGCATGTCAATGGGGCTTTCCCACATTTTTTTTTTATTATAAACAACCTTTTTATGTTTTGACAACAGAATGTATTCTTTAAAAATCCTGTTTTCTCATTGACTGGACACTGAGTCTGGACACCTGCTATGACTGATAACATGTGCATTTGAATTGTATTCATCCAAACATTCTGTGTCATAATGTGATCTGCTCTTGTGTCCCAGTTGTACACATCTCATGGGCCCACAGTCATCATGCCTACATGGTTCTGCTCAAGGGACTGGTTTCTGAAGGTGGAACCGTTTGATGAGGGAGGCAAGGTAAGAGTTTACACCCAAACTTTTTCCAAAGCCTTCTTGTGCGGTTTTTCTGTTGTAAAAAGTCTTCACTTACTTTGATGATTCCAATTGACATGAATCCAACAATAAGTCCATCCTGAATTAACTTTCTTCCTCTGCCCGTGTTCATATTAAACAAACATTAATGTTAGCTGGTTCCAAATCTCTTACCATTACCACCGTCAGATTTATACAGGGATATAAATAGGTCTGCTTTCGTATCCACAGCCATCTGTTTCCCTCTGGTTAGTAAGTCTGTGTAACTGTCAGGGCTTCATCTTTCTATAGAGAGAGCAAGGTGTATCGTTACTTTCAAGGGAATAGAAAAGATTTCTAACAAGGTTAGCATAGACTAGCCTAACTTTATAAATTGTGTTCAGGTGACAAAGGCTGCGCCAAGACTTCTGAAAATCTGGGCAGATTTACTCCAAATTCAGCTCTTTCATTAATTGGATGGTAAATCAAGTAATACTCCTTGGTTTGTACCAATACGTACAAACTAAGGTTCATACACATTGGCCTGTCGCATGAGTATTCTGGTAATTTCAGTTTTTTTTATATATATTTAGGATTATAAACAGTGGCGACTGGTGCCTTTTTCTCCAGGGGGGACACAATTTGTAACAGATGAACCGGGATGTTAGATGGATGTTTTCATTTGCTAGCTTGATGCTAAAACATAAAGAAAAATGCCATTCACTGGCTAACAGAATACACTTTGCAAACTTCACTTAGGAATTGATCTATATTGCTTTACATGCTCCACAAACAACACCATATGCACTCGTACTAACAGACCTACTGTACGTTTCCTAAACTCTGTGGACACAAACTTAGAATATATTCTGACTTATAAACAGCCAGTAAACAGCAAGGCATGCAGTAACACGCACCTTATGGCTCAGTTCATGGGACGTGTCCCCCGGGTTACATGACCGGGTGTGTAGTGCGTTCAGGGTTGCATATTCACTGCGCCCATCATAGTTCCTATCTCTTGTATTGAAGACGAGCAAACCTGCATGTTCATCTTACAAAAAGAGTCAATGGAGGGCCCTAGCAGGGAGGCTTTTAAAGTGATACATGTTACGCCTCTATGTAAAACAATTTTTAAAAAGTATTGCTTCAGGAGTGACGGCAGCCTAGTGGTAAGTGCTTGCGTCCTGTGTGCGGAGGTTGTGCTCCTCCGTGGGGCGGCCCAAGTTTGAATCTGAACTGTGGCTCTCTCTCAAATAGAAATCTTTAAAAAAAATCGTATTCAGTGAAGGTCCATCATTCTCTGTAGGGGGGGTGAGAGGGCGTCGCCCGAGCGCCCTCTGTTGTCCATGCGCCTCTGATTTTAAATCTGTTTGACCTCTTGTATTCCCCCTGAGGTCTAGGAAGTGGAAACCCACTAACAATGTTTCAAAGCAAGGACAAACATTCTAGCCCGTGAGCCTCGTGTTAGCTAGCATGCAGTTGTTGAAGTTACACAGAGTCATCTCCAGTTCATGCTGCAAAAAGAAAAAGCATTTTAAAGGAATAAACAAAAACAACATTGTGACTTATAATCAACTGCCACAACAAGTCATTCACACCCTCCTTCCTCCTGTGCAGGGTGTCCCGGAGGACTTACTCTTCTTCTACCAGAGTATCCGCCAAGGAGGGGGCGTGGCCAGAGTGGACGAGTGCCTGCTGGTGTACCGTTACCATGAGAAGGCTACAACACACTCTGTAACAGAGTCAGTCTCAATGTCGGCAACACACACACACACACACACACACACACACACACACACACACACACACACACACGCACACGCTGTGATATAAACACACACATTCATAGTTGGACACAGTGTTGATCCTCCACCTACTCACAGCTGCCCACCAGAATCCTAGATTTTCTCAGGGCTCAATACTCTCACACACAAATATGCACATATACACACACACATACACACACTGGCATGTCTTCGTAATCTTAAGATTTTTGGAAAATGTTTTTGGAATTCTAAAAACTTTCCCAGCACATGAATCGGGAATTTAAACCTGTTTTTTTCTCTGTGGTATGTTGAGTTTCTCAGACATGAGAATGTGTGTGAGTGTATGTGTGTGTGTCTGAAGGACCTGACACCCCTGCTGTGGTCTGTTTGCAGCAAGGTCATGAAGTGGGTGCAGGTGTGTGTGCCTTAATGGTAAAAAACACAGAAGAAGAAGGTCTTTCCTTCCCTCCCTCCCATCACACCTTACTTCTCTTTCATCCCCCTCTTTCCTGTTATCCCTCCTTCCTTTCCTCCTTTCTTCCTTCCTTCCTTTCTTCCTCCCCTGCATACGTCCACATCTCGTATATCTTCCCGTGTTGACGCACTCCTTCACCCTTCATCCTCCTCTCAGTCTTCATCTATCACCTGTCTATTTTGGGACGTCTATTTCAAGCTCGCCTTGCCTACTTTCCACTCTCCCCCTCTTCTTGTCACCCCTTTACATCCACAGCTTTCCTACTTCCTCTCTTTAGTCAAATAAAACCATCATCTTCTTGCTGCCTCTCACACCGGCACACGTCTAGTTGTAAAGAGTGGCCGAGTAAAGACGGTGGTTAAAATAAACTGAGAAAACACAGAAAAAAAGATTCTAAATGGGAGCTAATCTGCTAGCTGTGTATGAGGAAGTGTACCAGAGTGTGTGTTTGTCTTTTTGTTCTGTGTGGTATTAGAGGGATGAGGGCTTCAGCATGTGTACACAGATACAGTTTATAGTAAATCTCTGCCATCTTTCTGCCATGTGTTACAATCAAAGCTTGTATTGAGATTGTGAAGAGACCACCCGCGCTCCACTGTGGTGGTGGGTTTGAGTTTGTTTGTCATATGAGGCCCAGTGTTAGGCCAAGTGAGACGCTCACATCAAAAGACGAGAGCGGAGAACCTCCTGTGAACGTGTCTGTGTGGTTACTCAGGACCAGTGTGTGCTGTTATGTGTGTGTGTGTGTGTTAGGGAGCTAAAGCTAGTGGGAAGAGCATGAATAGAGTGAAAAAGATCAATCTGAATGTAAAGATGTGTCTGAGGCTAAATCCCAAACACCACACTCAGAGACTCGTGGATTTAAAGGTGTGTTCCAGCTAAGTGTGTGCATGCTGTGTCTCACTGTTAAATCTGTGTTGATGCCGACTTTTAAACAGCAAATTATGAGCTTTCCTGTGGGACTCACCCTGAGATCATAGTGAACTTGTGGACACGAAGTATGTGATCATACAGCCCCCCCCCCCACCCCCATATATGTCAACAATTGTTCATGTTCCGAAGCAGTTTTCAATAAAGTTAAAAAAATAAAAAATAAAATAAAAATAAAAAAGCATGCTTGGTAGCCAATTCATAACAAATGTCATGAGCACTGATCAACATTTAGAAAAGTTGCTTTGGGAGGAAAAAATGTCCGGCAGACATTTTGGGCAGAACCAGACTCATGGTGAACAGTCTTCTGCTAAATCTGTGCTGGGCTTAAAAAATGGGATAGATGGAGATGCAATATCCTCAATATGTAAATATACAGCCTTGTTGACTTTAACAGTGTTACAATGTTACAATTCACTTAGCAGACGCTTGTATCCAAAGCGACGTACATCAAAGAGTAAGAACAACACTGATCCAGTCATACACCGCCGCGGAAGCAGCGGGAGCAATGCAGGGTTAAGTGTCTTGCCCAAGGACGCATGTTGCTCAGCTGGGGGATCGAACCCTCAACCTTTTGTGGTCATTTGTAACAGATTTGCAGAGTTGTTCTGTCAAAAAAAAATCACATTAATATTTATTTTTTTATTGACTTTTGATAGTGTGCTGGAAGTGGGGCTTTTTTCTTATTATGTAATGGCACATCTTGTGTCCAGGCAATGTTAGATGTCAAGATATTTTGTCCCATTCCTCGTTTTTTGCATATTTCTCAAAACCATAACCTACTTGGGTAAAAAAATTACAGACTTTTTCTGCTTCGAGAATATCTTCACACAATCTGCGGCATGTGGTTACCCTACCACCAATCTTTGGAAGAACCCATTGGCTCTGAAGCGATGTAGCTTTTAGGAACAAACACTTCCAATGTAGCAAGCTGTTAGCATTGAATTACTTTTAGCTAAGACTTACTTTGAGTGTGCTGCATTGTTTTCTTTTTTTCTTTGTCCATCAACCTCTCATAATCTTCTCCGTTTTCAAGGGAAACTATTTGGAAACTGCGGGTGGACTTCCTGCAGGAGAGAGTTCTCGGCCAATGGGAGAGCTTCACCATATGGAACGCAGGAAAACAGGGACGAAAGCTGTACCGAAGCCTCAGCCCGACCAATCAGGAGAAGGTAGGTTACCTCAAGCTGTGCAATTAGATGAAGGCCCTTAAAACTATGTGTACTTTCAGCTTCCTTTGACGTTTTGATTCATCTATCAGGTGAAGGCTTTCTGTGATGTCGATGAGAACAAGATCCAGAAAGGATTTTACACATATGAGGAATCCAAGGTGAGTTTTTTTTGTAAAAACTGCCTTTCGAGCCAATGAGCTCTAAGGCAAGGTCTCAAATGACGGTCAACCAAACACTTAAGATGAGTGGACCTGGAGATGACCTGGATTTTTGTAAATAATTGTCTTGTTCTTATTGGTTTCCCTCCAGCAAAGACCAAAGCCCAAAATCCCGGTACTGCACTACAAAGACGCCTCGGCCCCTTTCATTGTCTGCGTTAAACTGGTGAGCAGAGCGCGTGTTTGTGTGTTGTATGTTTGCTGTTCCTGACCGCCTGTCCCTCAGGTCTGTAATCTAAGTTAACAACATAATGACCAAGGGCGTGTGCCGGGCACAGGACATAACGCGCACACACACACACACACACACACACACACACACACACACACACACAGAATCTGTCAGGAAATGGGTCGAGCCAGCAGCCTGATCTTTGATCACATTATGATTGTGCAAACATCACATGTTTTTGCCATTTTTCAGTTTAGCACTTTAGTATTTTAACTCTCTGTCAGTATTCAAAGCTTTATTTTGGCCATCTCCTTTGATAATCATTTCTTCTTTTAGTTCATTTAAAAAAAAAAAAGTATATGCATTAAAAACACACACACACATGTGTAAAAATCCTGAGAGTCACTAATTGCCTATTCACTCAGACATCAAATCTAGAGTGACCCCACCTACGGGTGCTGCTAATTGGTCAATTATGGTAATTGAACGAAGTAATCACAGTGAGAGGACACAGCAGACCTGGACTCCATCATTCCCTCTCTTTGGTGTTTTGTATGACGCACACACAATAACACACACACAAACACCTGGACTCAATCACACAAGGTTTTTTTTCTTTTTTCATGTCAAGATGTGGATAACTACTACAACAAATATACAAATCATTTCAACTCTGTGCTGTTCCAGTTAAAGCAGGAGTGCTGGTGCTGAGTGTGAATGTCTTTGACCTGTTTATAACCTTCAACATCACTTCAGTTTAGTTCAACAAGACAGATCTGCTTTAAAGAAACACAGCAGTAGAAGAATGGTCTTTGTAACATGCTTCCTATGATGACTCTAGTGTGGAAGTTTTACTTGCGCATGTTTTTGTTTTGTTGTTTCATCTGCAGGACATGACAGGAGGCGTTCTGGAGGAAAACCTTGACTCTCTGCAGCTTAAAGAAGGAACAGATTACTACCATTTCAACTGACGGCCGTCAGCACTGCAGAAGAAGAGAGTAGCTCTGCAGCTTTTAAGAGGTTAAAAGGGATGCAGGGGATTACTGGATTACTCACTCCAACTCAAAAGGAACTGAGAAACAGGCAGATGAAAACAGGAAGAGAGTGAAATGAACACTGGGAAGGTTATTGTGGGAGTTTTAGAGGCACTAGAAACCAGTACAGGGTTGCTCCAGCTGTCCGTAAATTCAAACACCTAGTTCCAACAAAATATCTGATTTAGGACGGCGTTTCACAAACTGTTAGCTCGCTCCCGCCTGTCAATCAGGTCAGCTACACGCCTTATTGTTTTTTTGTTTTTTTATCAATTTTGGGGCCCTTTTTGCCTTTACTGGATAGGATACAGGAAATGTTGGGAGGAGAGAGCGGGGGACGACACGCAGCAAAGGGCCAAGGTCGGACCCTAACCCACGGCTAAAGCCCCCGCACAGGTGGTGCACAACACAACCACTAGATCACCTTTGACATGGTGAATATCCTTCATAAAATCAAAACAGATTAGTTAACCCATTATTCAACCCCTGTGCAGTGTACAAACAGGCTTTTTTTAATGGGGTGTGTATGTGACTTCCGGTGCTTCTGCAGCCAGCCTCAAGTGGACACTCAAGGAACTGCAGGATTTTGTACTCCTGCATCGGCTTCATTTTTCAACACTCGAGGTTGCTGCTTGGTTCACGATAGGCAGCACTGTAGTGAAAAAATTGTATTTCCCTGGTTGGTCACATTTAGTTAAAACGTAATTTCTGCTGTTTTGATATATTATCTACGTTAAGCTCGACTAGTCAAGATGAACATTACGTCTCCATGGTAACCAAACAATGACACACCTTCAGTTACAAACTGTCTAGTTTCAATGTGGGGCCTAGTGTGGATTTTTCACTCAATCTTAAGACTGAACTTCAACAGAGCTGGTACAACAGGCCACAGGTATTTTTATTTTTTACCTTTCATAAAGACCCAGACGAGAGCTCCCCACCTTCCCCCACCCAGTCATTGTGCCAAGCCAGTCTGTCCTGGCTGTGGTTCATATTTGATTAACTGACAGCTATCAGAGTTGTATCTCATGTAATGTGAAAGAAGAAGAATACCATCATTTTTTTAAATGTCTCAGAATCAGAATCAGAATCAGATTTATTGGCCAGGTATGCTTACATGTTTAACATGCTTAAATGTTAAACTATTACTTTATATAGCTTAAACTCGGCTTGTTCAGGCTGCTATAAACTACCATGGAGTAAAATTGATATGAAAGATGGCAAAAAAAAAAAAAACCCTGAACAGATTGTATTATAACTTAAAGAGTCTAAAGCCCTTATATTTTAGGACAGCTGTCTACACAAACAGGAAAGACAATTACCCATGTCGACCATGGGTAATTGTCCCAATGTTTTTTTTTTAACCTGTTTACTTCCTTTGCAAATCCTTTGCATACTGAGTTTTTTCTGTAATTTTTTGGGATCGGTAATCCAATAAAAAACATTACAGACAGAAACCTTCCACATGGAATACAATGCATCTATTTTTCTATTATTAGCGAGAATTTGCAGAATGAAACAAAATGTCTCGTACTCATTGAGCAGAGTCTTCAAGCAGTGAAGATGATTTATTTTTATGGTTCTCCCACTTCTTAAAAAAAGAAAACACTGGGTCCATCCACTCCTGAAAACAGGACAAGAGCGAGGAGAGTTTGATATGCTGATTAACTATAATGGAACCACATGTCCACCACCAATTTCCACGAAGCAATTGATCCTGAACAGCAGCTTGTTGTACAGTATGTTTGAGGTAAGGACACAACAGACACACACACACACACACACACACACACACACACACACACACACACACACACACACACACACACACACACACACACACACACACAGTGTTGGAGTCGGTTAGCTCTTAACCAGAAGGTTGGGGGTTCGATCCCCAGCTCCTGTAGCCACATTAACCCCAACGCTCCTTTGTCAGCAGTATGAATGTGTATGAATGTGGTCATACTGATGGACACAACATAGCAGCCTCTGCCATCAGTGTGTGAATGTGTAGGTTTGACGTGTGGTGTAAAAGCGCTTTGAGTAAACATAGGACTAGAAAAGGGCAGCAATTTCGGACGAAATAAACCGACTCTGCGTGCCAAGGCCTTTAATCTAGTTTTACAGTTGAATGAGGTGTCTGGTGTCAGTGCTGCATCACAGAAGGTTGGATGTTTTATCAGCACTGTTGCCCTGATTCGTCAACACTCCTCTCTGATGCAACTTTGACAAATCACATGTAAGCATCACATCTGCTACAAACATGGACACTGTACATATTTGTTTTTTTTAATTCCCCGGGTCTCTTATGAAATCTTAAGAACAATAACCTCTTTAAGAGGGCAAAGTTTTCATACATAAACTCACCCAAGAAGTTTATTTTACCTCACAGAGAGTTGGGGGGTTTTTTTCTACCCAAAGGTAAACAGCCCTTTCTCCACTAAGTCTCCCCTGTAGTTTCCTGGGTTGGTGACGCGGTCTGCCTTACTGTAAATCTGCCCGCAGCAATTTGTAGGGAAGCAACAGTGGCTGCAAAAGTGGAAGCGTGGGAGTCTTGTTTTTTTTAAACTACCTTTGTTTGTTACAGTAGAGTGAGTAAACTGTTTCACAGTGGTGTGAAGGCACACAATCGCTGTACCTTGTTAAAAGTCAGGCTTGAATTCATGGTGTTTGATAAATAGACACAGAGTGTTTGCGTCTGATTCAGCCTGAGGTTTGAAGTGAAACGTCCAGCACGCTGCCACCCACAGTACAGCGCTGTGTGAAGGCTGGGAAAAATATCACATCCACTTAACACTCAGTCTCAAGCGAGACCTAAACCCCTCTTCCCTCTCCGTGTTTCTATACACAAACGTTCAAACTGAAAGGTGTCCTCCTCCATGTGCTTCTTTCCAATCCAGCAGGTTCTATTGATTCATCTGTTATTGATTGATTGTTTTGTCGATGAAAAGGCGGACATCTTTTAAAGTCAAAACTTTCATGGTTAAAGTCGCAGTAACCCTCTGCCAACCGTTGTCACAGCAACCCCAATCATTCTCCTCACAGAGTCGCTGTGATTGGCTGGTTGGATGCGAGCTAAATTTGTTTGGTTGGTTAATTCAGACCTGTGAAGTGACATTTAATGACCAAAATGTTTTCCTTCAGACAAACTTTTAATAAAATTGTTTTAATTTCTGTCGCTTTAAGAGCTTAGAGTAGAGCTGTTTTATTTTCTTAATATCATAGACTGATTATTTTTCTATTGACTCATCATTTCATCAGTTAGATTAAATATTCTTACTGAGCACAATATTTTTGAATCTTTTTTTACTTGACACCGTTTCCCAGGATTATGCGAAATCATACAACCAAGAAAATCAGCTTGATTCAATTGTTTCCTATTTGAGTGTCCTAACAGCCCATGGCTGCGACTCTGTGCGAAACAACACAACAAACCATTTTTACCTTGACGCCCAAGTTCTATTTACATTCCTGTCTCCAAGACATGGACGTTGCTTCTTTCCCTCAACAGAGCTTGTTAGCATTTTCTACAAAGTGGAGATAGTGGTGCATTCATATAGTATCCATATCCATGATTGAAATGTTGAGCTTTGACTTGTATCAACCCCGGAGAAAAGTGTTGTCCGACTCACTGCAAGCTGTTAATGGATGAGACTAATAGCTTGTCAATACAAAGCACCACACTTCACTTTGTCCACCTTTCATACAAAAGCACTGGAGGCCATACTGTTTGCAAGGGGAGACTAAAATGAACAAAGCGACGAAGTAAATATTTAACAGTTTCAGTGTGGGCGGCGAGCATACGATGTTGTGCAATGAGACAAAAATATCTAACACTCGTGTGTTGTAAGGACGCGGTGTTCATCCGACCTTTTCTCCAATTTGATCCACATTACTAGGCTGGCAAAAGAATCAGCCAATAAGATGCTGTCTGTCAGTCAGTTAGGTGGGTTAAGCATCCAGCCTCACATATCTCGACAACATTTTGAAGCTCTTCCATTGAATTTGATTCACTGACTCCAACATGTTCCCAAAGCATGAAGTCAAATATTTGGATGATCCTCCAGCAGCATGTTAACCAATTAAATATTCTAATTCTACTTGGGCACTGGAACATATCACAGACAAAAGTGTTGACCAGTATTTCTATTTGAGTTAACCCAGTTCTCCCTCTAGTACCATTTTTGGTTTGTAGTTGTTTGTTTGTCCCTGATACCTGCCAAACTAGTGAAACTCCCATCAGCCCCAACTGCACTGTGTATTTGCTGCTAATTAGCAAATGTTTGCCTGCGTACACACAAGACAAAGATAGTGAACACAATAAACATTCCAGCGGTTAAACATCAACATGCTAACATGGTCATTCTAACCATGTTATTAGCATGCTGATATTAGCGCTGAACTCAAAAGCACTACTGTTTTTTTTCCCGTTGTTTTAACTCTACATTTAAACATTTCTTTATAAACTCTCACTGAACATTGTCTCCTCTTCTCTCTCTCTTCCTAAATATTTCAGTGAAGCGGCAGGTTTGGCAGTTGTTTTTCGGGGTCTCATATCAAAGTCAATGAGCTATAAGGTGTCCTGGATATATTTCCACAAAATGGACACCATAGATTTTAGGATGTTACTTACCAAAGTGATTTTGTTTAAGTAAGACCACAGTCTGTCTAAATATACGCTGTCCTCTTTACTCACTCTGCCCTCATGATTAAGCACTTGGTTGGTGATCAGAGCGAGCTCTAATGGAGAAACTATGAAAGAGTCTCAGAAAGAGAGTAAACAGAGCTTTACTCAGTGTTTACACTATGTCTCTCTGCAGACATCAGACCTGATAACACACACACACACACATTCACTCACTCACTCACTCACTCAGTGAATGACCCTGACCTCAGGGCCTGCTGCCATCACTGGTTAGATAAACCTGCATGTGTGTCTAAATAAAATGCATTTACACAACTGCTTGACCTCTGACAGTGCAGATGATAAGACAGATAAGAGTCAGGTGTGTTTTGGTGAAGAGAGCTCACAGGTCAGACACTGAAGGCTTTTTCATTCACCTGGAACTTCACCACATTCCTTTGTTTCAACATCTCTGTTCATATAAGTAAGAAGAAGTGTGTGTGTGTGTGTGTGTGTGTGTGTGTGTGTGTGTGTGTGTGTGTGTGTGTGTGTGTGTGAGTGGTATGTATGTGCTGTGGGTTGCCTTTTAATTCAAAGCAGTTGTCAAAATCAAAATGCAGCACATAGTCTACGCATTTTCCCAAAATTTAGTTGGGGCCATGGAGGCTGCTATAAATGGACCAGCAGGGCTAAGCCTTCTGTTTCTTATACAATAAATAATAAGTGACACATAGAGTGGCTCCTGAAGTTAACAGTTACAAGAAAAACATGCACTATCGCTAAACTTTAATATCCTCTTCCATTAACTTCCAGAGTGTAAGTGAGTGACAGGTGTCATGGCACGCCCCCTTGATTTGCTGATTTGGTAAATTAATTCAACCCACCATGTTTATTGTCACTCTGGACGTGGGTGCAATCCAACAACTGGTCATTGACGCGATGGCTGTAGCGTTACAGACCATATAGAGATGCTAAGAAACTAACTTAGCATCTCTTAGGCTTTAACAAACGACCTTAGGCTAAAATAACCACAATGGTGATGTTATTTCTGCTATCCCCTTAATTGATGACGACATCAAGTGTTAGCATCAAGCTACATCTAACTAGTCAATTGGTGAGAAGTTGTGGCCATGCTAGGTGAAATGTACCTATTGAGTTTAGGTAAACTACTCTTAACTGAATTAGATGAATCATAACCAAAAAAACACACAGACAGACAACAGAAGGAAAAGACAACAGATACTCACAATGCCACAAAAAGGTCGGCAACAAAAGGTCACTTGATAGACATAGTTTGATTATTTAGATTTTTTAGCATTGAGTGACTGTATGGACTTCTTTTCCTTGCGGCTGTTTTTGCTAGCCTTGCACCTGCATGATGTGTGTATTTCCCTCCCTCCCTTATAAACTGCCCCAAAACCGGATTCAACTTTTCTGAGTCTTGTGTAGGCCTTGGTTTCACTAGTTTAAAAGTTCTTCATCAATTCAATCATACAAACACAATCTTCATCTGCAGTTAGCATGTCCGCCTGAGAGGTGTTTGCTGTATGAAGTAGTCAGTGCTGTGAGCTCAAGGAATTATGTTGTTGCCTTTTCTTCATCCACACCTGCCAAGCAGCTCCTGAGCAAGGCACCTCTCCTCTGAACAGAGCTGGTGGAGCTGCTCGGCGGTCCCCCTGGATAAATAC